GTCCAAAGGTAGACTGCCCCTTGCTAGGGAAGCTTGACCGCAGGCATTGCAAAAGAGCAGCCCCCCCCCCCCCGTGGATGGGACTGGAGGAAACTTTGGTGGGATTCAAAGGGGGTGGGAGGGAAGTGGTGGGGGGTCCCATGTCTTCTGGATCAGCAATTGGGGGGGGGCAAGATCCTCTCCCAGCATGCAGGGAAGGGTCATCCAGATCTCCAGTCCCCACTGTGGGAATTCCTTCCTTCCATCCATTTTCTATTTATCTATCCCTTTCTCTCTCTCTCCCTCCCTGTCTTATCTACCCATCCTACCTACCCATCTATCTCCTTACCTCTCTTCCTCCCCCCATGCAGGAGCCCGATGGTGACAGGCACCTCCGTCCTGGGCCTGAAGTTCGAGGGCGGGGTGATGATCGCGGCCGACACGCTGGGCTCCTACGGCTCCCTGGCCCGGTTCCGCAACCTCTCCCGGATCATGAAGGTCAACGACAGCACCGTGCTGGGCGCCTCGGGGGACTACGCCGACTTCCAGTACCTCAAGCAGGTCCTGGAGCAGATGGTGTAAGTGGCTGGAAGACCCACGGCCGGCCTTCGGGGGGTCCCGGACGGCTCCTTCACCCCCTGGATTTGCCTTGAAAACAAGGAAAAAAGGTGGAGCTTCAAACCTGGCCAGTTTTAAGACTTGTGGACTTCCAACTCCCAGAATGCCCTGTAACCAGCACAACCGGCTGGGGAATTCTGGGAGTTGAGGTCCACAAGTTTTAAATTGGTCGAGTTGGGAGACCCCTGAGCTAAAAGAAGCCACATGATCCAGCTCTGATTTGCTGTTAAGGAGTCCCTGATGAGCCTGATGTTAATCGGCGTGAAGGTTTAAACTTCTGGAGGACCTCCAGGTGGGACCCCCAAATTAGCATCAAGGGAGGCGATGCTGCCAATACCTACTTCCTGTTATCAGTCCTGCAAATAAATATTTGGATCTGTAAGCTGGCTTGTTAGAATTGAGCCCTTCCTGGGGCTGAAAGCTCTCTCTTGACCCTTTCCGTGGGGCTATCTTCTCCCATTGGGCGATGCCCAGACCCTGCGGCCTTCAGCAGAATGGTGAGAAGGGCCGACTTTCCAGCTGGTCAATTGGTGGCTTTGGAGAGCCACGTCTCAGCTGGGCCTCCGTGTCTTGCAGGATTGACGAGGATCTTCTGGGCGATGGGCACAGTTACAGCCCGAAGGCCATTCACTCCTGGCTGACCCGGAAAATGTACAACCACCGTTCCAAGTTGAACCCCCTCTGGAACACCGTGGTCATCGGCGGCTATTCCCACGGGGAAGGGTAAGGCCGGGGGCAGAGCGGGGGGAGAAAGCCTGGGGGACGGTGCCCTGGCTGGTTCATGGAGAATATTGCTCAAAACTCACAAATGTCTTGGGCTCTGTTGCAGTCGTAATCTGAGGACTACCTCTTTTTGTGTCCTTCCATGTTGCGTTCACCGTCACCCGACAGGGAGATGAGCAGCACATAAAATTTCCATCAACTGCTTTTAATTCAGGTTTTGCCTTCCCATCCTCCCCGCCGTAGCCTGATGGCGGAGGGGCTTCAGCTACGGCAGGCCACTGCAGCCCCCTCAATCTCTCCTCTCTCAGCTTCTTAGGCTACGTCGACATGCTGGGTGTGGCGTACGAGGCTTCTTCGTTGGCGACCGGATACGGGTCCTACGTGGCACAGGTGGGGCAGGCGGTGGAGACTCTGGCATTTTTGACCTAGCAAGGTCCTGGGTACAAACTGGGCTCCTCCAACTGTGCTAAATCATCGTGGCTTCTCTTGGGATTAGGGCCCCGTCTTGCAGATTTCATTTTTCAAGCGTTGGGGGTGCGAGTTGTGGCTTATTCAGCCATCCAGAGATGGGTTCGAGTCACGGGGCTGAGTTTTTTATCTGGTTGGGTGTGGCTGTGCAGTTGAGCCCCGTTTTTTCCTCCCTGTCGCAGCCGTTAATGAGGGAGGCGCTGGAGAAGACCTCCAGCCTCTCCCAGCAGGCGGCCCGAGCACTCATCGAACGGTGCATGAGGATCCTGTACTACAGGGATGCCCGCTCATTCAACCGGGTAAGAGGGGGTGTCTGGCCTTCCGCAGGCATATGGGTGACCCAGCCCGGTCAGGGCTGGCATCTCCCTTTGAAGGTGGAAATCTTGAGACCACCGAGGATCCTAACCCTCTGTCCTCCCTCCTCAGTATGAGATCACCACCGTCACCGAGAAAGGCGTGGAGGTGGAAGGACCCCTGTCCTTGGAGACCAACTGGGAGATCGCTCACCTTGTCAGGTAAGGTTTCCAGAAAGTCTTGGCCTTCTAGAGGTCCTCCTGGTCTTGTTCTTACAACTCTTGGGATGCCCGGCCCCCATGAGGGCCTTCCCTTCCTCCCTACTCTGGATTGTAGAAACAACGATTCGTTTTCAAGACTTTTGTGACTTTTTTTTTTCTTTTCCTTGCAGTGGTTTCGAATGAAGCGGGAAAAGTCCAGTTTTTCTATTTGTTGAAGACAGAACCCCAAATCCTTTGTTATGCTGTTCGACGCTCCTGGGGGGAGCCACTCTTTAATAAAGACACTTGACTATGTACTACAACTCTTCTGTGTGAAAGATTTTCTAGAGGCTTCAGGAGGGGTTTTTTTGCTCCTCGTCTGTATAATCTTATCGTCTTTCAACCTTCCAAAACAGCTGGGCTTCCACTCCCATAATCCCCAGCCAGCACAGCTAGAGTTCCAAACCAGCCTAGAGGTTAAAACAATTTTGGTTAGGTCCTACCAGAACGTGAAAAAAAAAAAAAAAAGAAGCATTTTCTACTTTTTTTGAGATAGAAAAATTTTCTACCTAGCAACGCTAGGCACGCTGTGGATTCTAGTATAGGTAGTTTGAGATCTCTGTTTTCTACCTGGAGGGATTTGGGGGCTATTCAGACATGCCCTCTCTGGACAAGCAAAATCTATGGGAGGCTGCAGTGACCATGCTATGCCACTAGAGGGCAACAGCTTGGAAGAGTCTTATCTATGCTTAACCACTAGAGGGCGGTATTTTCAAATCTTATAAAATATATGAGTCTCTTCATCAGAAGAGGAAATTTGGGGGGGGGGAACAGGGGGGGTTATAATGCCCAGAGTACTTATCCGCAGGTGATCAGGCGCTTTCCTGCTTACCACCTGCCTGGGTTTCACAGCTCCAGAGCAGGAGCAGAGTTCTAGCAGGCCGGCTCTCCCGGTTTCTCGGGGGCTTCAGACGCTCTTAGAAAATGTCTACTGCAGATCGACGAATTCACAATCACAGAAGGGAACTAAACTTAGGAAACAACCATGAGAAGCAACAAGAAACTAGCATTACCTTGCGGGACTTTTAAGGGATGGGCACCAGGGTCACGAGAGCCCACAGGCGTCCCTGGCCTTCAGCCAACTTTTGCTCAATAAATGAATTCTCAAAACCGCGCTAAGTCCAATTTGTGAGCCTAGCTGCATTTCAAACCCAAGTTTTTTTTTTTTCTCTGGCTGCCAAACTCTTTTAAAAGATTCTCCGGAATGAAAACACGTGTTTATAAATCCATTTCCCTGGCTTTATTAAATGTTCCACATATGTACATTTTAAAGATGAACCATTTACAGGTCAGCCCACCCTATTTCCTGCTTCCCTTGAGTTTGGCCTGGGGGAGTTGGGGAGGGGAGGGGAAAGATTAGGGAAGGGGTTTTTTTTGGGGGGGGGGTGTTTCAACCTCAAAAGGAAAAACAGAAAAAGATGTACAGGATGAGAGAGGGTGGGTGGTGGCTTGTTTTCTGCTATGTGTCAAAATGTTTTTCCATTGTTTTAGACCATAATACGTTACAATTTTTTTTAAAAAAACAAAACCTCTCAAACATGCAAACAGTAGAAAAAAAACATCCTTTTTTTTGTCTCTTTTTTTTTTATGCTGGCAGTGTAAAATAAAACAGGAAATTTCCCTCATTTTTGTGCATGTCAGAGTCGGGTCCAGTTGCAGCACTTGAGTCGGGGAACGTGTAGTGTCTTGATGTCTTCGGCGAAAGCAGGTTCAGTAGCAGAATTTTTAAAAGGCGATGTCGGGGGGGGTCCGTTAAGAAGAGAATCCGTTTACAATCGGCCGCCAGAGAAAGGGGGTCACACCGGGGCGTGACCTGCCACTGCGGTCTCTCTCTCTCTCGGTAGCAACTCGGATAAAAGTGGAACAGAAAAGCTTTTGCATCAACTGCAATGAAATCTGGAGGGGCTTTTCTACAAGTGAATTTTTGCTTTTACTTTTACAGAACCACGTCCAAGTTCGTACAAAAAACGTGAGGGAGGGTTTCGCCTCCCCTAAACAATAATGCCTGCATTAAATTGCTGTTCTCTTCTCCTTTCCATAAAGCAAATCTTCCAATTTTTGTGGGCAGCGCTCGAACGTTTTTCAAAGGTTAAAAAGTAAATTATTCATAGCTAAAAAACAAAAAAGTTACCCAGAAATCTACGTTTCTGGGTCCAAATGTTAAAGGGGAAGAAGAAGAGAAAAAAAAAGCGCGAGATTGAGAAAACTTCCATCAGCTACATCTCTTTTCCTTGTCTTCCCCCCCAAAAAAGAAAAAAAGTCACATTGATAATGTGGTAGAATTAAAAACTTGTTTTGCACGGTATAAAAAACAAAAACAAAAAAACCCCAGCAAAATAAAAACCCAGAAACTATAATACAGTGAGGTAAAGGAAATGCAAAACGAAAACCAAATAATAATAGTAAGTCCACCCACAATATATCTTCGGGAAATGCCACAACAGTGATTTAAGGGGTGGGGAAAAAACACACTTTTTTTGTTTTTAAAAGGACTCGAACAGCATTGTTAAGTTTGCGTGTTGTTCACCTACGCGTCTCCTACAGCCAAAAAAATCCACAGGGAAGCAGAAAGAAACGGCCTCTTCCAACCAAGAGTTTTTAAAAAGAGAATGGAATTAAATCTCCTTTTTTCCTCCCCCCCCTCCCCTCCGTCGGCCTTCACGCTTCCATCAGCTCCAGCTCGGCGTCCTCGAAGCCGTAGAAGGACTCCGTCTCGCTCTCCCCCTCGAAGAGCTGGTGCAGGATCTCGGGGCTGGTGCACTCCTCCGCCGGCCCCCCCTCGTTCAGGTCGCCCTCCTCCTCCTGCAGTTGGCCGTTGAGCTTCAGCTGCTCCTCCAGCGACGCGATCAGCTCCTCCTGCATGTCGGCGTTGCGGCTGGGCGTGTTGGCCGTGCCGTCCGGGCCGGGCAGGACGCTGGCCACCAGGAACGACTGCTGCACCAGTTCGGGGCAGTCGCTGATGACCTCCAGGGCCTCGGCCAGCCAGCACAGGACGAGCTGCAGGAGGATGTCCGAGTCGCAGGAGGAGTCCGCCATCTCCTTGGCCTGCTCCTTCCACTTTTTGTGCACAAAGTTTCTCACCGTTCTTTTGATGCAAACGTCCAAAGGTTGGATTTTGGAGCTGCAGGCGGCCGGCACCACCGCCGGCAAGGTGCTGGACGAGCTCAGCATGGCCAGGACCTCTTCGGAAAGGTGCGTCCGGTGGCAGTCCAGAACCAGCATGCCTTTGCTGCTTTGGCGCTCGATGTGCTTCTGCCACACTTTGGAGGACCAGACCTCCATCACCTCGTCGTCGCTGTAGCCGCTCTCCTTGGCCTCCAGCAGGATCATCTCCGGCACGTTGGCGGCCTGCTCCAGGCGGCCTCGGTAGAAGACCACGGTGGGCAGGACGCTCCCGTCGGCCAAAATGGCCAGGACCACGTCGCACCAGGGCTCCCCGGTGCCCACCATCTGCAAGGCGTTCTCCTTCTGGTCGTCGCTGGAGAGGACCTCCGCGTCCAGGAAGAAGGAGAGCTCATCGATGGCGGCGATCATGGAGAGGGGCAGGTCCTGGGTGTGGATCTGGCCCTGCACGAACTCGACGAAGCAGCCGGCGTTCCCCTCCACGTCCTTGGGGAGCGGGTGGGCCACCGCCCGGCGGTTGTGCGTGCTGAGGTTGTGCCGCAGCATGAACCGGACGGCCCACTCGTAGGAGATCTTAAAGCCGCCCTCCAGAGACCGGCCGATCTTGGTGGCCTTCTGGAAGAGGGTCTCCTCGTTGACCGGCAACTGCTGCTCGCGCTGCGCCAGGACCCACTCCGCCAGCTTCTCCTCCGCCTCCAGGCTCAGGTACTTGCCCTCCGACAGGGAAGCCACGTTCTCCTCCTGGAAAGCCTGGAAGCGCCTCAGCCAGCGGCAGATCCGCCGGGGCGGGTTCTTAAAGTGCTCCGCTGCCTGCTCGGTGTTGCAGCAGAGGGCGAAGAGAACCACCCGCAGCTTCTTCACAGAGAGCTGCTCCTTCCTGCTGATGGGCTCAGGAGCCTCCTTGGGCTCGGGCTCCTCTTCGCGGCAGTCCACGGTCAAGACGTTCGGGCCCTCGTTCTCCTGGACCGGGACGACGGCGGCGATGGCGGCGGGAGATTGGCTGGCCTCGGGCATCGGCTCGGGCACCACGCCCGGCGCTTCCTGGGGCAGCTTCTCCTCCTCCTCCTCCGCGGGCGGCGGAGACGGCGCGTTCACAGTGATGGCTTTGCTGGGCGGGGAGGGGGAGGCGGAAGGCTTGGTGCCTCGTTCGAAAGGCTGGACAGGCCTGAAGAAAGAGAGGGAGGTGAGGCATCACCCAGAGGAGGGAGGGGAAGAGGGCAAAGCCTACCTGGACAGGTAACAGGTAATGGCTTACCTTGGATGGGAACTCCAAGCAGGACCTGTGAGAAAGCAGAAAGGAGAGCTTCAGCTTACGACGACAAGAATCGTATTCACCCTCATAAACTGGCCGGAGGGACCGGCCCAAAGTTCTTTTCCCCCCCCCCCACTCTGTCTGCCCCTCTCTTCAATTAGGGGGCACCAGTGGCGGGCAGCTTCCCCTCGCAGCTTGACCTCCCGAGTCTCATTATAGGTGGTCCTCAACGTACGACCCCAATTGGGACTTGAACGTCTGTCACTAATCGATGTGACCGTTAAGCGAATCGCTGTCTGGCCAGGCCCAATTTTACCACTTTTTTTTTGGCCTTGGTTCTTAAACGAATCCCACGGTCGTTTCCCAACTGGTTGGGTTTTCAGCGCCGTTGTTAACTTTGAACGGTCGTTAAAGGAGTGCTCGTAAGGTAAGGACTGCCTGTGTCATTGGGCTCCCTCCCTCCCTCCCTGGGACGGCAGACCCAGCTGGTGACCGGCGGAAGCAGGAAAAGCCCCCAGGGCAGAAGAAAGACAGCCAGGCCGCGTCTTGCCTCGCAGAATGATGTTGCTGAATTCGTGAGAGGGGTTGAAGACCAGGTGCTTGGCCATGGCGTCCCCTTCCGAGGTGGCGAAGAGGCAAGCGGAACAGGCCAACCGGACCCCACTGGCAAGAGAAGTGAAAAAGAGCATCGCCCTGGCGTCAGGTTTGCTGCCTCGAAGGCCTCCCCTTCCCCCCCAAACATCAGGATGGGGTTCCCACCCTGGGAAAGGCAGCCGGGACCCCCATGGCTGCCCGGCTCCCCTCCCTCCTCTGGGCTACGGGATCCAGTGGAGAAGACCAGGCTAGCGAAAGGATTGGAGACAACCCCCTCCCTCCCAAGTCTGGAGGGATGCAGCTTCTTACCAAGCTGTGTAGTTTTTGAACAAGGCCAAGTATTTCGGACTTTTGCGAGGGACGTGGTTGCTGGAAAACAGAGCAAGGAAAGACAGCAGTTGTTACACGACGACAATGCTTCAACCCCGGTGAGTGACCTGGAGGGAAACCCCCAATTTCCCCCTTACAGCAAGAAAATCTGGCACTGAGTTTTTAGTGCTAGTGAGGCAGGGAAAAAAACCCCTGAATTTGATGGGCTCAGGCTGCCAAGAATCTCTCCCAGCCGGCCGGCCATCACTCACGCTCCTTTCCAAATCAAGACTCTCTGCTCCCTTCTGACCCCGGACGGAGCCCCTCTGCCCCGGGGGGGAGGGGGGAAGGGCAGCCCAAGCCCAGGGCCTCGCCCGGTGCCACTCACTTGATCATGTGGTTGGCGTAGGCGCGAGAGCAGCAGGTGCTGTAACGGCAGAGCGAGCAGTGGACGTAGGTGGGGAAGTGGTTGGGGAAGTCCGGGATTTCGAAACTGCACTCCAGGCAGGTCTGTCTGCCAAGGACGCTCCTGCCAGAGGAAGGGGGGGGGAGAGACAAATTAGAGCCAGAGGGGGGTGGGGGGTCCCAACAAAGGGGCAGTCAAGGGGGAGGGGATCAAATATTATCCAATGCAGAGGGGGGGGGGGAAATCTCCCGTTATGTTTCCAGAGCAAAACATTAAACTGAAAACACGCGGAAGAGTCACTGAGGACCCCCCAAGAAGGAAGCGGCACGGTAGCCGGTATTTGGGGAGCCTCCTCTCAGCCCCACCCATTTAGTCAACGGTCACTAAATGAATTGCTGTTAAGCCGAGGACTAGCTGTACTCAACCCGCCCCCATCCTCTGGCTGAACATCCACCCCGCCCCCTGCGGACGCGCTCTGATCCCGACCCCCGGCCCGGAGGGAGTAGCAAGCAGTGGCCAGCAAGTGTCTTAAGATGATTCTGAAACTTGGAGTAAGAAGCTCTGACATTTTCCGGACGGCCTTCTTCTGGATGCTCCTCTGGAAGGGCGGGTAGGGGAAGTTCGGCTGGGGGTCCGAAGAGGCCGAGAGCAAGGCGGCATCCTGGAGGAGGCCCGGGGGCACGTCGTTCGCGCAGAGGGGCAACGTCCGTGGCTGACCTCGGGAGGCCCTGATGGTCACCTGTGGCCCACAGGAAGAGAGGCAAAACCATTCACATTCTTGGGGGGGGGAGACATTCCCTGAAGAAGATGGGCTCCAAAAGTGCAGAAGACTAAGCCTCTAGTCCTGGTGACCAACGACCCGGATTGGATCCTGCGACACTGTGCTGGGACACGCAGATTCGCCTTCGTTCGTGAGCAAAAATAATCCCCCGCTTGCCCCAGATCAGAACTCTGCTCATGCTCCCAGGAAGGGAGGACAGGCAGGTAGGAAAATGCCCAGCCTGGAAGGGCAGAAGCCCAGACAGGGCGAAAAGGCCCCTGGCCCCAGGCAAACTGGCCCAGCTGCAGGCTTCTTCACCAGCCCACCCCTCGGCGTTGGCGGCTGTGTACCTTGGTGCCCGGCTTCAGCCCTTCCAGCTGCTTGGGCTTACGGAACGTTTTGTGGTGCTGTAGCTTATGCTCGATCTTGTCCTTGGCAAAGAGGAACTGCAGGCGGCACTTGTTGCAGTGATAGACGCTCTTTTTCTGCACGGGAAGGAGGGGAGACCCAGCGGTGATCTTTCTGAAAGGCGGGCCCTTCTCTCCCCTCCCCCACAAGGGAGGCCAAGAAAGGAGGTCCTGGTGGAGGAGGAGGAGGAGGAGGAGGAGGAGGAGGAGGAGGGCCCACCTGGTGCCTCATGAAATGCTGCTGGAACGCCGTGCCGTTTTTGAAGACCTTGAGGCAATACGGGCAGAGGAGGTGGCGGGTGTCCTCGTGCACCATCCGGAAATGGGTGTCCACTTCGGAGTAGAGCGACGAACGGTACTGGCAAACCTGGAGAGAGGGGGGGGAGGGAAGGAGGGGAAGAATCATTCTTGTTAAAAGGGTCCAGTGTGGGTCAGACGCTGCGTGTCCGAGAAGGGAGCCGCCTGTCCTTCTGGGGGTGGGCAGGCAAGGAGGTTTCCTGACCCTCCCAGGCTCTTAAATATTATTTCCCTTTAGCCTTTTTTTGGGGGGGGGGTTTTAACTGTCTCCAGAAACTTAGAAGTGCCAGAACTGGACTAGAGCAGTTCCTCCCGGCCCTCCCGAAGCGCTTGCGGTACCTGGCAGACGTAGGGCATCTCCCCGGGCTTGTGCGTGTCCTTCATGTGCTGCAAGAACATGGGCTCGCTCTCAAAAGCCCACTCGCAGATCTTGCACTTGGCTGCAACGGAGGAAGCCGGTCAACATTCACCCGCTCAGACATGGCGGATCAAAAGCGGAGCCCGATATGTTAATCTCTCCCACTTAGTTCCCTCTCTAAAGCGTGCAAAGTCAAAGGCAGCCCCTTTGAGAGAAGACAGAAGAAGCTGCAAGGGGCAAAATCTCTCTCTCTCTCTCTCTCTTTTTTTTTTTAAGAGGACCCCCTGCTTCCCTCTTCCATCTGCTAAGGCCGCACCGGGAAGCCTGCCTGCCTGCCTGCCTTCGAGGGCCCACTTACTGGTGGACTCGTACGGACTGTGGACGTTTTCCAAGTGACACTGGAGCTGGAAGGGGGTGGTGAACTGTCGGTAGCAGTGCTGGCAGATGGTGTGGACGTCCACCTCTCCGTTCTGCTGGTCCAGCTCCACGTGGTGCTTCATGTGATTCATGAACCTGCAGACAAGGAGACGGTCATGCCCGTTTGGCTGGCAAGGGGTAGGAAGCAGCCTTCTGGGTCCGACAGCTAGGGGGGTGGGGTCTCAAGAGCCTCCCCCCAAAAGACAGGTGCCCGTTCCGAGCCTTTGCTTAGTCCGTGGAAGCACACGGCCCAAGGAAAAGCTGGGCGGTGTATCGCATTCGGATGTTTTTAGAGAGATGCGATAGGATCTTTCCTCGGTTAATAGCTCAGACCCCGTGGATTTCCATCCGGTCCTCTGCAGAAGTGGCTTCCTTATTGATTTATTAAATTTATTAAAACTGTGAAGTGGCTATGGGCGGCTTACCTCACGAAAGCAAAAGCGCTAAGCATTAAAACACTGAAAATGTACTATTTGAAGGATCACTCACAAGAAAGATACATTTCGGTTTGGAGAAGATGGATAGATTATATTCAGAACAAATATGGGACTAAAAAGTTCCATTTAGCCTATGAGTAAATTTTAGAGTATTATTAGTATTAATAGTTTATTATAGTGAAATTTTTATTAGTTTTAATTATATGATATTATTATTTTTAGTATTAGTATTGTTTAACAATATTCTATTGTTTAATAATTAGGATACTAATAATTAGGATACTAATTTGTTTGTGTTTTAATTATTATTATTATATTTATGTTAAAGGGGAGTTAAAGCGCATTATGGACTTGGTTATTTATATAGTTGGTTAATGTTAGTTAGTGGGGGAGGGAGAGGGGGGGTTAGGGGGGGTTGGTTTTGGGGTTTATATTGTAACTTTTATAAAACTTTTCAATAAAAAAACACACCACTGAAAATGTTAAATATTAGGAAGTTTTAAGCAGAAAATTGGAGCGGAAAACAGGCTGAGTCTTAATTCTAGAGGAGATGGTGCTTCTCAAAAGCTCAGGGGAAGGGGGGGCACCTTTCTCACCCCCCCTAACCCCCGTTATCCTTACCGTATGTTATTCTTGAGCCTCTTTGTGCAGTGCGGGCACCGGAAGGAGGTTGGCACCTTGGGGAAGTTCAACAGCTGGCTCACTTTGCCCCCATCCCTGCCGTAGTAGAAGTCGTCGACCAGCATGATCAGCTTGCTCTGCACCCCCTCGCTGGCGCCGTCGCTCGGCTCGGACAGTTTGGCTGGCGGCGACAGGGCGGGGATGGGGGTGGAGGAGGGGGGCGAAGCCACGGCGGCCGTTTTATCCGGGGAAGGGGGCTTGGGGGCTTGGATATTGGGTTCGGGCTCCAGGGGCTTCCCTTTCTTCAGGAATTCCACCATTTCGGGGCAGCAGTACTGCCGGGAGGGGAAAAAAAAAGGAGAGTCAGCCTTGCATGGGCTTTAGCACTCTGGAAAGACAGGCTGTCTGAATGAGGGCTTCCCCGCTCTTCTCCGGGTCTGGTCTTTTGATTCCCCCAGCCTGGCCTCATCCTGGAGGGCTGGAGCTGCAGGCTGCTGTGCAAAGACGACGTAGGTGAAAAGGATGGCGTCTCTGGGTGCAGAGATAAAAATCTCCACATTCAATCTCTGCATCTTGCTTGCAAACCTCCCTCTTGAGAAATGTTGGCGTGGCCGTCCCCCGTGGCACACGGTCAAAGAGACCGGATGAAATGATGGGCTTTCCCTTGTCACGAGCATCCAAGACAGGAATTCTGGGAGTTGAAGTCCACGGGTCGTAGAGGGGCCATAGCTACCCACCCCTGGTGTAAGATATAGGCAGGGTCGGCGTCACACAGGTTCCCTTTAGCCATGAATGGGGGACTCTCTTTTTCCAGCACCGGCACAAGCAAAACCCACGGATCTGCTGGGCTCTAGTGAAATTTTTCTATTGCCCCGCCCCCTTCCCATAGTTGAGTTTCTTTCTGGGTGGTCGTACTCCAGAAATTGCAAGCGCCCAGCCGACCTGGAGCGCACACAGCTCTTTGTGGTCCTCCCCTCGGCTATCTGCTGGGGCAGGAGCGGCTACTTACACACATGTGGCCTCTCAAAGCTTCGGTGACTCTAAACTGGGCATTGCAGCGAGGACAGGATTTCCGCCCACCGTCCTGCAGGTCAAACACCGGGATCGGCGAGGAACTGACTGTTTATGGCGACAGGACAGAGAATCAGGGGAGAGAGAAAAGAGGCCCAGCTGGAAGGGAGAAACTCTCCAGGGTTCACTTGGGTGGTCAAAAGGGGCTAGTCCTCCTCCTTTTGCTGGGGTTTCTTTCCCCTGGGGAGAGTGAGGGGAGGGCAGCACACCCCTTTCCTAACGAAGAGCATCCCGGAGACCCTCTCCAAGCTCCTTAATTAGTCCGGCAGTTAGGAGACCCACCTTTCTGGGAGGAGGGCTCGGAGATGCCCGTCCTGTGGGAACCGTGGGCCTGGCTGTGGTTGGGCACCACGAGGGGGCCCGAGCTCTGAGCGAGCGAAGGGACCGTGTTCAGGGTGTTCACCAGTTTGGCCACCTCGTTGCTGTTCTCCGCCCCCGCCATGCCGGGTTTCTTCATCGTGACAAAACTCGCAATGCTCACTGCCGGGAAGGACAAGGAGAGAAGCCGGTCGTTTTCGTTCAAAAACAGAAGAGGAGGAGGAGATGCTGAAGGAAAGAGGACTTACTCTGCGGTTGCGCTTGGGACTGTGGGACCGTGTTCCGGATGGTCAGGGTGGCTGGAATGACCGTCGTGAAGGTGTTGGAGGCCGGCCGGACCGGCATGCTTGGAGCGGGTCTCACCTGGGCCATTTGGGAGAAAACCTGAGGGACGCCGACGGTGGGCTTCACAAACTGGGTGCCTGGGGCTGGAGGGAGGGAGGGAAGGGAGGGGAGAAGAGGCGTGGGTGGGGGCCGGCACCCTTTGTGAAAGGCAGACCCCCAGCCCTGTTTCAAACCCAGCAAAGCTGGAACTGAGGGGAGGCTGTTTATTTATTTTTAATTTATACGCTGCCTGTCTCACCAGCCAAAGCAGGTGGGCCATTTGCATAACCTTGGTTCATTTGCATAGCCACACCCCCACGGCCTAGGCTCTGTGCCCCAAAAGGGGGTCATTCTTGCACATCGCCCTGCCCTCCTGGCTCACCCCCCCCCAACTCTGGCCACCATTGCTCCCCCGCCGCCTTACCTGGGACGAGCGTAATCGGCCGGACGGTCTGACCCTGCTGCACGTTCAGGACGATCCCCACCTGGTTCATCGTGTTCTGCACAGGGCGGACGTTGCGCACCGGGAAACCCTTTCTCGGACAAGCAGAAGGAGCAGCTTTAGGAGCATTTCCCAAGCCCAGGCCAGAGAGAACTAGGCCAGCCCGGCCGGCACACACTCTGGTCTCGCCAGAGGCAGCCGCTCAGCGCCACAAGAGATCAGATTTCTAAGACCCGTCGTAGCATTTAACCACAGCCCACCTTCTGGCCGCAGAGACACACCTGGATGATACGGACAGGCTAGATGTTTTAAGGCCGCTCTGCCTGGCCGGCCCCCGAGCCAAATTAAACTCCAGAAAAATCACCCTACTCACTGCACACTGTCTACATTGTACCCCTTTCAGAGTTAAATATAAATAATAAAAAGTATCAGGCTGGGGTTTCAGATTTCTCAAAAAAATAAACAAACGTTCGTCATTGTTTATCAGTCAAAGGTTATCCCAGTTTATCCGTGACTTGAGCTTTTGCGGCAGAAAACTGCACCAGGCAAGCCGGCTGTTAGCTGCAGAAACTTGCCCAAAAGGCAGAATGGGTTTACTCCCAGCATCAATGCCTTGAGAGGCGTTCGGGTGGGTGGGTGGGGGGGTGACTAATGGAAAACCAACACCACCCCCCCACCTCCAATCGATGGCTGGTCTGTGCAGTGCTAGCTCAGCCGGTTTGAAATGAACGACAGGCTCGCTGGGGAATTCTGGGAGTTGCAAGTCCACCCGTCTCCATGTGGCCAAGGCGGAGGAACGGCGGCCTGCAAAGGGAACCAGGAACATCCACCGGCTGGGACAAACCCCCCCCCCTCCCCTCACCTGAGTCGTGATGAAGATGGGCTGGCTGGTCACTGGAGGGTTGGTCACGTGGTTTGCATTCTGCATGACCTGGACAGGCCGGAGAACGGGCTGGGTCACCACCGTGCTTAGCCCCGAGGTGGGGTTCTGAGCCAGGAGGAGGGGCTGGCCCCCTTGCTGAACCAGAGGCGTGCCGGCTGGAAGAAGAGGAGAGGGCTGTGACTGGCAGGGGGCCAAAGACAGGGCTGCCCTCCCACAGCTAAGGGGTCTCCAACTCTGCCAGGCTCTCGGGGCCCCTCCAGAGGGGCAGCCCCATTCCTTTCACACACAGAGGAAGCGACGCAGGGGGCGTCAGGCTGCTTACCGCACTTATAAGAGGCAGGGGCAGACCGCGGGGGTTGATGTAAATGCAGGCAGTCCTCAACTTACAATAGTTCGTTTAGCGACGGTTCAAAGTTACAAAAAAGGGACCCAGGACCGTTTTCCCCAGTTACCCTACCTTTCCAACCTCTCCATGGTCACGTGATCAAAAAATCAGAACCTTGGCAGCTGATTCATTTTACGACGGTTGCAACCTCCTGGGGTCACGCGAAATCCCCTTTTGGGACCTTCTGACAAGCAAAGTCAATGGGGGAAGCCGGATTCACTTAACAGCCGGTGGCAAAACCCACTTAACAAACGTCTCACTTAACAACGGAAACTTGGGGCTCGATTGTGGTCGTAAGTCAAGGACCGCCTGTATTTCAAGCCCCGGAGTTCGCACGGAGTTCAAACATGCTGCGTGAGCAAGCGCAGAAAAGCCCAGATTCCCTCTCTCTGAAGAAACTGCACGGAAGTCCTCTGGGCCGGTGCCCATCCCAGGTTAGTGACAGGGCACAGACAGAGCAGGAAAAAGAGGTGAAAGAGTGCAAGTTTTCCAAGTTCCCCCCCTCCCCTTAAATCGTTGGGGCGCTGCTAAGGACGGGGGGGGGAGAAACCTGACAGCTCCTCTCTCGGCTCCCCTGGGCGCCCCCCCAAAGACCGGTCAGGATCCTTACTGCTATTGTTTGCAAAGAGAGTCACCAGCGTCTTCTTCGTGCTGTCACTGCCGGAGGTGCCGCTGCTGCTAACGGGCGTGGTGGGGAGGCCACTGCCGATGGACGCGTGGGCCGCGATCGGCACTGGGCTGGCCACTGGCTGCACGCCGACAGACACTGTCGAGGAGGAAACTCAGAATGGTTAGTGGGGGTCTCCTGCAAGCACAACCAGGTTTTCGCGGGGGGGCCCCTGGAAAGCTGCCAGGTCTAAAATACAGGGGGGGGGAAGGTGTCTTTACGAAAAGGGGGCTGTCTTTTGGAGCTCACCAATGACAGGCGTTATGGACTAGCAACTTTTGTTGACTTATTTTGCAAGTCTTCTGCCATGGGCTTTAGGCCAGGCTGGTCAAGCTGGGCCCGGACGGTGAGATCTCAAACCTGGTGGCTACTATCCCGAAAGACTCGCAGGTGATCCCAGCACAATGGATCAGAGAAGGACGAGCTGGCTGGCTCTCCTGGTTACCCCGGTTTTGGCAGCCCTGTTCTAGGAAGAGCTGCTCTGCCTTAAACAGTAGCCAAGGCTGTTCTTGATCTCTGCCAGCAGGCAGGGAAGGAGCAAATGTGAGCAGCCCGCCAAGAAGAGGAAGACAAATTATTAAATATGTCAATCTGTTACACCCACAAGGAATATTAATAGCTGGGGAAGGAACTATGTGGAGATTGCTTTGCTTTTTTTTTGCACGTGATTAGGAAATGAGCAGAGAAGACCAGCCCTCCATGACCTGGGAGTCTCCTAAGGTGGGTGCTGCTTGGGACCCGAGGCAGGGGCAGGGCCCCCCAATCAGGAGGAAGGAAAGAAAGACCGGAGAAGGCCGAGTCTGAGAAAGGAAGCGGAGTCTGTGCCCCGTCGAACGTGATGGCTCTTAAGCAGAGCAGCTCTCAGGAGGAACAGACTGACAGCTTAACAGGTCTGCTTCCTATCTCTTGGGGGGGGGGGGCTCTGTCTGCGCCCTCTGAAAATGCCAAGGTGCAGCAAGGAAAAAAGAAAAACAAAAAAAAAAACCCCAAAACCACACAGCAATTTATCTCTTGCACATCAGGGACTGGCCACTAGAACCATCCGCTGAAATGCGCTGGGTAACGTAAGGCGGAGATGGGTTTTGGGAGAGGAGCATCACCTGTAGCCGTTTTGTCAACCGAGTTGTAATCTTCCACCACGGAATCCTCGATCACATCGCTGATCTTCTGCCACGGTTCAAGTTCCTCCTCTTCACATTCCATAAACAGGTCCGTGTCTGCCATCTTTGGGGGGGGGGGAGAGACAAAAAGAGGTGGTCACTTTCTGGACAAGATGGAGAAGAAGGGAGGAGAGGAAATTCAGCAGAGGGAGGGAGACGTCCATCTAATTTGGGAGGGGGGCAGCACAACATGTCCAGCAATTCTGATCTCTCATCTTAAAATGGAATTTAAAAAAAAAAGGAAATATCGCCTTGCAAAATTTTCCACGTTACATTCATCTTAATTAAACAACACTAAAAAGCTTTGCTGTGCAATTAGCTGTGTCCAATTATGTATCATGATAAATGAATTACAACTTGGTGAAAGAGATGTCAGAGGGAACCAGCTTTTTTGTTTTAATGAATCTTTTGCCTTTTTAGTAAGACAGCATGCATCTTACTTTAAAACTACATACAGGTAGATGGTGAATTACAGCGGTCGGTGGTATAGAGACACAAAACTGTAACCAGTTTTCATTCAACTAAGAATCCTTCTACAATTCCCTCCCATTCTTTCTTCCAAAACTCCCACTGTGGATATTTGGGAGGCTATCAAGACTTTTCCGGTCAATAAAATGATTTAATCCTTGCGATAAATATGCTAACGTTTACGTTTTCCGCTACACAGATGACAGATGCTCTCTCTCTCACGCACCAAAGCAGTCCGAGAGAATGCGCTAAATATATGACAGTTTATTTAAAACACGTAAAGAAAATGGAACATGTTGGAGAGTAGTACTCCTATTAAAACAGACAAGGTTTTGCAGGGATCCAGGATACAATCTACAGCTACTTCAGGCTAAAGAAAAGAGACAGGCCTCAGTGAGAGGGAAGGAGGGGGCATTTTAAGAAATGGTTAGCAAAACGAGGACCTTTGGAATACAAGGTGCTTTTTCAAAGTTCACTCCGCACAGATTAAATTGCGAGCCTCGGCTATGAAAAGTTTAGGAACTCTCGGAAAAGCTCATCAGTCTCCAGTCATGCACGTTTTCATTTGTTAGGAAGCAACAGCTGTGGGCAGAAGGCCTACCTCAACAGATGCAGGCAACAAGTGAAGGAAGACAGGCAAGTAAATAGCATTTTGGGCCTGGCCAAGTAAACCAGCTTCCTAAAGCAGCTACTTGCAAGAATCACGAATGCTAAAACATGGGTGTGCTTTTCACACTGTAGACCTGCCTTGCCTTTCATTGCAATGAACGTTCAGTGGGAACTTTTCAGTAACTTTAGAATTTACCTTCAGGGATTGCTCCAGAAAGTAACACCCTTGGGAAACGCAACAGATCATGCCCAGCAGACTTGCACCATTTTGCCCAAAGAACACTGCTGGGTTCTTTTTCTCCAAGGTGCTCAGAAACATACCGGGAATATTCTGCACTTCCACAGAAAAAGACTCCTATCCCTCCACATCTCCCTTCTCCTAACCATCAGGCTGGAAAAAAAAGATCACTCAGGACTTGTTCAAATCCATCAGCAAAATAGGAGAGGCAATGCCTGTTTAATACCCAGTATCTACCAAGAGAGTAGCGCTAGTCTTTGCTCAAGTTGCAGGCTAAATGTTGACATTTGGGATTTAGCTAGAATAAAGTTTATGTGGAAATGGTTTTCTTCATCCACGTTCAAGTGTTTGTCTGTTTAAAACTGCAATTACGGGATCAAAATTGTAACTGAAATCAACATATATTATTTCCTTGTTTACTTTTTGCTTTTATATTGTACTTCTAGGATTACAAGGTGCAAAAACCTGAATTCTTGTTCAGAAACATATCCTTTTGTCTCTGTTTCTTTCCTTGATTTTAAAGCCCACTACAGGTACCTCAATTTCTTTTATACATGGACTTTGTATAATAATTGCACTGTAAACAAGTGGGGAATTGACGTTCCTATGATGTCAGCTCTCAAAAAGAAGGCACTTGATGAACTCCACTTGACTTAGGCCAGTCACAGCCATCAAATGGGGTTGGTAAAGAAGATCCACATCTCAACCACAGATATTTAGGCAAAAAAGAAAGGCCTTTGCTTCAACAGCAGCTCAGAGCAACGGCCAGTCAATCTGTCTAGGAACAAGACTTCAATTTTCCTCCCAAAGACAGCCAACCATTCAAGTATTCAATCCTAAATCAAAAATGCAAAGAGCTTAACCCACCCTTAGCCACAGAAACAACTGCTTTTGATTATTTGTTTGTAAATCAAGTCAGGAGAGAAATAAAAATATTTAACTTTGCACACCAGCCAACAGTGGCCAGGAATCCATTATAAAATCGCAACATGCAGCTAGTCCAATTTTTTGTTTGTCTCTTTCCCCATGAAAGAGAGAAACAAAAAATTAGACCATCTTTTCATTTTCTCTTAAGAAACACAAGATAAAATAAGCAATCTGTTGGTGATGCCCTACAATGTAGCGACCTAGTTGTGTGACTGATTACTCATCAGCTAAAACTAAGTTACAATGTAAATTGTAGAAGGCAACCTTACTGTAACAACTAGAACAGACAAAAAGGCTGTGAGATCTTAAATGTTAATATTAACAGAAAATGTATTTTGTGAATTAGAGATCGCTCTGCCTCATATGTGATGGAGGGACGTGTTGTTTTTAGATGGAGCTTGAAGATAAGGTCTCATAACACCTGTCAGAAGACTTGTGAAGCGAGGGTAGAAGACACTGGCACATAAGAAATAATTGAAAATACACACACCTAGAAATACTAGTAGCTACAAATTGATAAGAGGCTATGCTATGTAAACAAAACAATACAGTTACCGCATTGTTGTGCATGGTTATTTACTACGCACTTGCTACATGGTTATGTACTACAAATTCCCACTAGATTCAGGATACGTTGGGCAAGTTCAGAGCCTGGTGCTATTCTAAAGCTATTCTACGTTTTTAAAAAAATACTCAACAGAAGAAAAACCCAGAAGTATAGGAGAAAAGACAACCATTTTCTGAAGCAGTACTTCAAATTCAAAATGATCTGGGTCTAAGATGCTATTTATTAAATGACCCAGGTAGAAACATCATGCATCGGAAAAACCAAGCACATTAACTATGACACAGGGAATTATCGATGAGCAGTACTTCAAAATAGTTTAGGAGTTATCCAGGATAAACCAAAAAAGGGAAACACGACAGGTTATGATAAAATCCAGTCGTTTTGACAGCTGATCAGATTCAGAACCCAAGAAGCAACACTTTTGTTCCAATCCAATGTTGTAAGCATCTCAGAAAAGGCAGGAATAGAATCTTACAGGAAGGATAAATGTTTTAGATGTCTATTAGAGGAAGAAAGAGAGGCTATTTAGAGCATGATCTAGAAGCGTACATGTATATTGTATATGTTTTTAATTCACTAAAATCTGAGGGAAAAAATCTGTGTGCACCAGAGTGTTTCTCACTTTACTCTACAGTAGGCCAGCATTATACATGTTTATACCAATGCAACCAATGCGAAAACATTTGTAAAGGTGAGCCTGCACCATCCCCACACGATATGGTTTTGCCTCCCATCTGAGACCACCCACCCACAGTCACATCAACTGTTGCATGTCAGGACAACCCTGACTTGTTCAAGAGTTTCACGCGCTGTAAAATAATGTAAAAATTCAGCAGTTGCCAACCATGACGACGTGTGGGAGTTTTCCCTGGATGGCGCTTCCCAGACGTGGGAAAAGGACGACAGGGGTTTACAGCGTGGATCTGTTTTGCAGAGCGTGGCCAAGCAAAGCAGGCCGACACTTCCCCTGTCAAAAGCACAGCTATGCCACCAAGATGGCAGCTCTCCCAACTCAACCGTGCCCTCTCTCGCTTCTGCGGCCTGCGTACTGCCACCACCTTCACAGTTGTGGGAGGGGGATGATGGGAGTTGGGCAGAGCATGGCCGAGGCTGCCTTTGGCCGGTCGCCTTGCAAAGCGGCACGGGGCAAAGGGTGAGGAGAGCCTGAAATGGGGCCGAGAGAAGCCAAGGGGCTTTTTGTTGCCCATGGACACCTCTGCCCCATGGATGCCTTCGAGAGGGCTGGAGGGCAACGCTCGGCCTCAGCCCAACTACAGGGAGGAAGGTGGGCCACAGGGCCACAGGTGTCTGGAGTGCTCTGCAGGGGTGGGCATCAGGGGCATCGCCCTGCAATGCATCTGGAGCGTGCCAGGATGATGGGAGCTGTAGTCTGAGGTGCCACCGCAGAAGGGCTGTCCATGGGGAGGGGGCCACCAAAGAGAGCCCCCCCCGCTCCTCCTAGTATTTGTCTGAATCTGGAAGAAGGATGGAAGCCAGCAACCGATTCCCCTCCCCATTGGGGCCACCCCACAGCTCCCCCCACCCCAAAACAGCCCCTCCCCCCAACCACGAGGATTATGAATCCGCACTGGGGGGGTCTCCCCCAAAAAGGGGGGGGAGGGAGAGAGAAAGTAATCCCTTCCAGCCAACATGGCCGCCTGCCCAGAAGTGAGGACAATGTTGCTGGGGGAGGGGGCTGAGAAACGCCACCCACCCACCCAATGCGAGGACGTCTCCCTATTTCCACGCATCTTTTTTTCCCTCCTCTTCCTCCTCAACGCCCCCCAACAAGGGCCCAGAAAAAGGGGGGAGGGGAGGAAGCGGCCTGCGGAGGGATCCGATGCTTCACTCCCTTATTCTCCTCCTCGCGCCCCGCTCGCCCCGCCCCTCACGGCGAGAGAGAGAGGAAAAAAAAGAATCCCGGTATATCGCTCCGCGCTCGCCTCCCAACGAAGCGCGGGGATGGCCGCCGCCTAGCGGAGGGCGACGAAAGAGAGGGAAGGCCACGCCTCTTTTCTCCACCCCCAGCCAATCGCCGTCCTCCCTGAGCCGCTCGCTCCCTCCCTCCCTCCCCGGCTGAGGGAACCGTCTCGCGCTCGCTTTTGTGTGTACCGCGCGCGCACGCGCCCCCCCTCGCGCGCGCTCTTCCCTCAGCCCGCCGTTTCGCCCTCGTGGAGGGGGGGGGAGTTAAAGAAAAAAAAAAAGAGAGAGCGCGAGAGCGAGGAGCCCCCCCTCCGCCCACCGGGGCGGTTCGAACCGGTTTCCAACGGTTTCCCCCCCCCCCTGAAGGGCCCCGCGCACGCGCGCTGCACCCCCTGCCGAGCGCGCGCAGGGCTCTTCCCCTCACCTCCCTCCTCTCCCTCTCTGCCCCCCCACCCCGCCCGTCCCGCCGCCCGTCCCGCCGCCCCCCGCCGCAGCCACGCGTAACGGGAAGGCGCCGACTCACCTTCCCCAGAACGGCCGCGGCCGCCGGTGGCTGCCTCGCCTCCCTCGCTGGGCTCCGAGGCTGGGCTCGTCCCCACGCTTAAAGGGACCCGCGCCCCCCGCCGGCTCCGGGGAGAAGGGCGACGCGGCGGCGACGGCGCGGCTCGCATGAGCCTCCCCGCCCCCTCCCACGCGACTCCGCTTTTTTTTTTTTTTTTTTTAAAGGGGTTGCGGGTTGATACACAGAAGCAGCAACAACACACATACACACACACACACACACAAAAAAAAGGGGTCCTGGCCGGCGGAGGGATACGGCGCCGTCGTCATTTCCTTCGGCCCGCCGAGCGGCGCGCGGATTGGCCGGCGCGCCGTGACGTCACCGGCGGAGGGGCTCGCCCCCGAGCGAGGCTGCCTGCTTGAAGTTTGTATGAGGCTGGCAATTCTGAGGAGATTTGGAGGGAAAAGGTTGCCTTCTTCTCCTCCTCCTCTTCCTCTTCCTCCATCGTCTGTTCTTCCTCTCCCTCTTCCACCACCACCATCATCCTTTTCTTCTAATGTAGCCAGATAGCACAACAGCTAAACAAAACACCATCGTGAGAAAAATAATGCCAATTAAAATTCAGTTCCAAAGATGCTGTCCACCTTGCGAAAACCTGGAAAGCAAAAATTCTTGGTTTTCTCCCTCAGTTCCAAGAGAGACAATTCCAAAGAGGAAAGCATCCCAAATGACAATCACAAGAGAAAAATAAACACACGCTTTTGCACAAATGCGACACTTATGTAGCTTAATCGTAAGAAAGTAGGACTATGGAGCATCATCTCAATAACGAGTGGACATTATTAACGATTGAGACACAGCAATTTATTTATTTTATTTATTTTACAAAATTTATATGCCGCCCTTCTCCCCATGGGACTCAGGGCGGCTCACAGCATGTTAAAACAATATACAGAATTACCCCTTCTAAAAACCAATTAAAACCCAAATATTAGTGGCTGTGGCTATTTAAAATCATTAAAAATTATCCCTATTTAAAATTCACCCTAGGTCAGGCCCGCTTGTTGAAAAAGCCATGTCTTGAGGGCGCGGCGGAAGGTTAGGAGATCCGGAATCGTCCGGATCTCGGGGGGTAGTTCGTTCCAGAGGGTGGGGGCACCCACAGAGAAGGCCCTCCCCCTGGGGGTCGCCAGCCGACATTGCNACACCGCCCGCGCGGCCGCATTCTGGACCAGCTGGAGCCTCCGGATGCTCCCCATAGGGAGCCCCATGTAAAGAGCGTTACAGTAGTCCAGGCGAGAGGTGACGAGGGCCTGAGTGACTGTGCGCAAAGCGTCCCGGTCCAGAAAGGGGCGCAACTGGTAAATCAGGCGCACCTGATAAAACGCCCCCCTGGTCACGGCAATAAGTCTCTTGGTGTACCCAATGTGTATTTACAGACAAACCACACTTAGAAATGGGCTGCCTATTACTAAAAATGGCAAACAGCCCCACAATGTTTTTTATGAATCATTGAAGCTGCAAGTTTTTGGTATACTGCAGTTTTATCAGCTGGAGGAAGGAGAAGGCTGTCCACCATTTTTAGTAATATGCAGTCAGTTAATAAGTACAAGCTCCAACTTACATATAAATTAGAATTAAAGATAAGAGTTAGGAACAGAACTCATTCTTAAGCCCAGGAGCTGTCTGTAACTCCTTATGAAAAGGACACAATATTGCAAACTGCTTTTGAGAAAATAAATAGTACTAAAAAGTTACATAATGTACTGTTAAAAGTACACAAGTTTACTTTAGTCTGTTTAAAATTTGGTTTCAAAGATCTATCGCATTTTAGTCTTGTGATCATCAGATAACCAGGAACGAAATACAGAGTCAGGACCGTGCAAAGTGAAATAATTTTCAATTTTAATGGATGTCACCATGCAAACTCCCCCCTCGCCATGCATTTGGATCAATTTTCTTTTAAAGTATTTTAACTAGTAAACAGTAACATATTCAAATTAAATATACTGGGATTCCATTAACTGCCAACAATACCCTGCTAAAGAGCATGTATCTCATACAGGATCATATGACCAATATTTTCTTTCTTCCAAACCTGCCCATTATTGAAACATAGCATACAGTGAATAACATATAGCAAAATGTGTTTTGTTTCAATTAAGTTATCAAGAGTTGGAGAAATGAAGAGCTGCCTATCCATCCACCAACAAATTGGAGCTAACTATTGCCATCTACATATTATCTTAAATAAATCACTCAGGCCCATTTAAATGCACCTCATGTTTCTTTTCCTTTAATCTGTAGCCTGAAGGGTCTTTTTTTCAGTTGGTGTAAATTTCTTTATAGAAAGTCGATATCTGAAAAGCAGGACAAAAATATAATAAATACCGTACATTCTATCGGGCTGCCAATCCAGTTTGAACATAACCATTTCTGTTTGATTGTAGAGATTAGCATGGAAGGGTTCACAGATCCTGTTAACTGGAGGAGAATCAGTATAACATACTTTAAGGGTTGTTAGCATATGCAATGAAAATTCCACAAATTTCATAATCTTCATATAATGGTGTGAAACAGGTTTCCTTTGGTTAAACAATTTGTCATTGTTTGAGCAGAAAAGAGGAACAAACTCAAGAGGATGCTGAAATCTGCTAATGGCATTTTTAAAAATGTAATCTGTAACATCAGCGTCCACCATGAAAGGTACGTGGTCAGTGCAAGACTTTGCAAATCAAACCCAAAAAAAAGACTACACTCAGAACTGAGCAAAACTGACCGATTGCTCACCAGATCTTATTAAATATTTGCTTATTTGGGCTTTAATGAACAGCAACAAGGGAAGAAAGGCATTCCTAAGGGTACTTTCAGCTAAAGAGGCAGAAAAATTATCTCCGAAGTGCACTGACAGTGGCTTGACAGGAAAGTAAATGAGTTGCCAGATCTCCGCTGCCTGCCAGCTTCAAAGCTATACTTGTGTCAAGCCTGTGCTGGGCGCTGACATACTTTTCGAAACACCACCTCCAGCTAAAAGTTTTTCTTTTCTTTGCACCTCCGGCCCAAAACAGAGGAGGATTTTCTGCCTGGAGAAGCTAAAAGATGAGGCAGCCAACTATTGACAGGACAAAGAAGCAGATCTTTCAAGAAAGAGACCAGAACAAGCAGCTTACAGAATCGGGGGAAAACCATTGGATTTTTTGCACTGAAAATACAGCCCTCCCCATCTGGAACTGCTCAGCAGTTTGCAATAGTCCTCTCCTCCTCCCAACACGCCCCCTCTCCACCCACTGAAATACAGAGATATATACGTTCCTCCGGAAAAAAAAAGCCCTGCCTCTGGTCTGGAGGATCCTCTTCGTTTGTCTGAATTCTTTGGAGGGAAGAGAGCCGGAATAACCCAAGTCCACCACCATGGGTAAGCCGAAACAAGACAGAGACAGGCCACTTTCTTTTACTCAGCTGCAGAAACAGCCATGCTTTGTCCGGGATTTTCTGCGGTAGTTCAGACTTTCCCAATTTGGAAGCTCAGGAAAAGATGAGAGTAATTATTCTATCACTTCTGCAAGTTGGGGGAAGCCACTGATGCAGTTTGAGTTGCAAATGGCTTGACAGGAGACCGCGCATCGGGGGGGGAGTTTAGCTTTTGAGGGGCAAGGCGCCCATGAGATTTCAGAACTTATACTCTTTCAACAACACTTCTTTCTTAGAGGTTTTGGTGCAGTCAAAGTCCCTAAAAATCCCCATTGCTAAGAAAATCCGTTCTTAGTGCAATAGGATAGCAATAACTCACACATGTTTACTTCCAAAGATGTATTCTTGGGAGTCCACTATTTGCAACAGCTTTTATGCATAGAATCGTGTTTTTTCACAGTCTGACCATCTGCATTTATGCTTGGAAGTGCCTTTATTTTCTTTGACAAGCACTTTGGCTTAGCACATGTAGTTCCAACTTCATCTGAAACTGGTTTATCTGCATTTGGGCATGTTTTTTTTAAATTTTGAAACTTAATTCCTTAAATTCCTTTACGTCTGATGTCTTGTGTCCTCTAGAATCTCCTGACCACTGTTGTACCCAAAAAATAAATAAATCCCCAGGACAGCTCCTTCAGCAATGGCTAAGCAAGGACAGGAGGACCCTGTCATGAGCAGGAAAATGTATACAATGTCTCTCCAAATATTTTGCATTTTATCTCTCTTAGTTTGGGGTCAAACACCTCTGCAGGATATGAGAACGGGAGAAGCTGGTCTAAAGAACAGCGCTGAATAGTATTATTGTATGCAATTCTGTCTTTCTCTCTTAAGAGACTGCTTTTTGTATTAGGAAATGATCCAGAAGGGGTGGGGGAGCAGGAAACCACTTTCAAAAATTGGAGAAAACATTAGGTGCTCTTCCCAGTCCCCCCCCACCGCCCCACGAAAACTGTGAATAAGGAAAAGCAATGGCTCCATAAAAGGTCTTACATGGAAACACCCAGTGAGATTGGCTTTTGAATAAATACGTATAAGATTATGCTGTTTATATAAGTCTTTAGTAAAGAGAAATGAGCATTCAAGCAGAGAGTTGTACAAAGGTGAAAAAAAATGACTTGTTTGAAGTACCAATCTATAGAGGGAGCAAGCAAACGCTGAACACTGTGCCATCTCTACTCAGCCATGCAATTATCTAGGTGATTTTAGGTCTGTCAGTCACTATCAGCCTGGGCAACCTCACCGGGTTATTATGAGGAGAAAAGAAATGGTCAGAGAATTGGAAGCCCTCCCTGGAGTTAACTCATAAATGTGCCTCCAGATGTTCCTGAACAATTCAAATCAAATGTGCCCCTCTGAGTCAGCTTTGACATCTGGCAACCACCTGGACAGGTCTCTGCAGTTCTCTTGGAGGTATTTTCCAAAAAGGCTTGCCATTTCCTCCTTCCTATTTTCTGAGAGGGAGCGACTGGCCCCAAATCACCCAGCTGGCTTCATGCCTGAGTTAGGACTAGAACTCAGAGTCTCTTGGCTAACAGCTTGGTTCCTTAAACCCCTTCACCCATCTGGCTCTGGACCCTGAGTTAATTTAAATTTATGCTTCTAGCTTCTTGAACCTTTGGTTTCCTTTTAATTTCGTTAGCTGGCTTTGAGAACTTGCTTAGCAGAAAATGGGCGTATATAAACTGAATAAATAAAATCTGATAACCTTGACATGGCCTTATGCAACAAGAAAGCTTTGTTAACGAATTTAAACAGGAAGAAGTTGGAGAGAAATTACCTCTATACCGCTGGTGTTCCTGATTTGCTCACGATGGGTAAAACTTGAGTTTCTAAAAAAAATAAATGTGTTAGTCTATTACAAGAAAACCAACTGAATTATAAGCTGAACTAATTCAATTTATGGACTGGAACCCTTTCGACCAAGGTATAAGTACCATACAGAGGTATGGCAGTCAACAGATTAACAAACTACATAATGGATATATATTCATATAACAGAAATATATCCTTTGAACCTTTTAAATTCCACCCCATGCACATAGCAAACTCCATTCTCTACAGCTAAACCCGCACATACATTTGTCTGACTCTCCTAGACAGAGTCGTAGCTGAAGGTTTTAAGATGGCATTTTCCCAACTCTGGTATCCACTCAATCAAGTCAAATAAGCCAATTAATATGGCTACTTTCACTGCAAGATAGACTCAGGAGACCCGCTCTAACTCAGTTTCCAGAAAAATTGATCACCAACATCTACTTATCTTGCATAAGCTTCAATTAGGAAGTCCATCCAATTTAAAAACCGTAATTTATTAGCAGCGCCAGATTAAATTACAAAAAAATAGAGAGACAGAATGCAAAGTCTGCAGCCAACTGTCTGCTGGCTACTTTAAAAGTACGACGGCTGGGTTTATACAATGCATTAAGCTATGGCTTGTTTAATTCGTAGTTTGTGCAATGAACCTTAGTCGACTGGTTTGCAGATGCTAAGCCAAAGCCCAATAAAATAAGGCAATCGTAGCACAATGAACTGTAACTCCAGCTTTTGTCATGAGGATATTGCCGTTTGTGACGGTCTCGATCCATCCTCAGCTACCATAAAGCCATTTGACGTTAATAATTTTTTTCCTTTGTCTGCGGTTTAATTTGTTACCTATTAAATCAAATAGGCCGGTATGGCAAATCACGGCTGTATTGCTCTGTTGCAACAGAATCAACAAAAAATACGTGTAAAAGACCCAACAGTTACTTGAAGGCTGCATGCTGGGTTTTGCAAGCAGGGAGGGTTACCCCTGACCTCCAGGCATGCAGAGATAAAGCAGACAATGCCACATGAAGAAACCGGTGAGGTAAATAGGTGAGGCAAAACCTGGGACTAAATGTCCAGCCCCAAGACTGGGGTATTGGACAGTTTCTCCATGGGGGTCATAAAATGACCAACTTCCCAGGATCATAGGGAGTAGAGACTTGGGAATTTAGAGAGTTAAGTCCCAAACATACCGAAGGCATCATGTGAAGAACCACGGACATCCTCAATCGTTTTGCAATTACGCACCAAATGGTCTGTCACTTGCGTGACAGCAGCAGCCCCTGGGCAGTTGCTCAAGTAGGCTTATGAAACATTCTTCCCACTCTTCATGCCTGAAAATAAAATTTTATGGCAAGGGTGTGTTCAGCAGCACACAACTTTCCTCTGAAAACTGGAAACATCTGCTGCAAAAAGTCTGGACTAAACCCAGGCCCAGAATCTTTCTTCGGGGAATCCAAGTGAGTCCGCTCAGAAGGTCCCACTGGAATTGCTCCTCCGTGCCATTTCCCCTCTTCTCCCTCCGTGCACAACCAGTGTCAAACATGGGAAAGGCACACAGCTACAAGTCCTGAGCCAAACCGACCCACGTCTCCCCATCCTAATTTGACTCCTGGTGAATATTTTGACCCTCTTCCATGCAAAAAAGTCAAACTGAGTCAGGAAGAAGACAAAAGTTCATTCTGCATCCACGCCAGGAAACCAGGGCGTGCTGTCTAATTTATTCTACCTAAATAATTTCTTTTAACATGCACCACACTGTTTGTGCCTCAGAGGTCTCAGCGGCAACAGAGAAGGATAGCCTTGAGGCCATGAGCACTAGCAACCTGAAATCTTTAAAAGACTCGCAGGAAGCTGAATTCAGCCCTCGAATTCCCCTCTCCGAAGCTACGGAGAAATTTATCAGAAAAGCCACCATCAAAGTGACACAGGGTTTCCAAAGCATATCCTGAGCTGAATGTCCTCTGTGTGTTTTTAACATTCTTCCTGTTCGTTCTGAATTGCAGCAAAATGTGGAGAGTGCGGGCCGGGATACAAAACCCCCCTGGATGCAATGAAAGGTAAGGGGATACTGCACTGATTCCCTTAACAACGGTGGCAGGAAAGGTCGTAAAACGGGGCAAAATTCCCCTAACAACTGTCTCGCTTATTAACAGAACTTTAGGCTCGGTTGTGGTTATAAATCAAGGACTATTTGTAATCAAGTTAGGGAGGGAAGTTGGTCAAAGGTTTCGCTCATAAACAAATATGCTTTATTAAGAAACGAAGTAGCTCATCGCCATCCCGTTTCTGGCTGCAGCACCTAGAGGCATTAATTAATAAATTGGCCAACATAACCTCCTTACTTAATTTCTCCTTTCTTTTCCTTTCTGTAACTTACTCACCACCTTTGCGCTTCCAAAAGGGCCACGGGAAGAGATCGTCTACCTGCCTTGCATCTACCGAAACACCGGAACAGCAAAACCAGATTATTTGGCCACTGTGGATGTGGACCCCAAATCCCGGACTTACTGCCAAGTGGGTTTAATTCAGTCTCTGGGCTCAAATCTTGAGTTCAGAGCTGGTTTATCTTAACCATAGCTCAATATCCTAATAATGATTCACAGAGAGGAGCTCCTGGTTTTCTCCTTGCTTCGACTGCTGCTTTTCTCACACCTTTTAAGCAAAAATATTTTAAATCTTAGAAAGAATCTGAGCCCACCTGGGCCTCTAGGTGACTCTTTTTCCATCAAGCCTTGGGGGGGGGGGGAACAGGATTCTCAAGATTTAATGCCACATGAACAGGAAGAAATTGCTGCCCAATACAGGTACTTTGTGGTTCTTTCAGAAGCTGAGAGTAAAACAGTTCTCTTCCTTGCAGTCTGTTGGGAAATCTGAACCCTGCAGTTGCCTTTCCTTGCTGCCTAAAATTCCCAGTTGCAGAGCATCTCCTTTCGGGTCAGATGCCCTCTCTTCGCCTTCCTTCTTTCCTTGGTCTCTGGATCAATCTGAGGTTGCAGTCCCTCAGGATTTATCCAGGACAACTGGCCCACCAGTTGATCTTGAGCAGCTGCTCAAACCTTACTCCACGGACTCTCTCTGTGGACGACACTTTTCACGGTTATTTCAGCAACACTGCCAGTATCTGACATCCTGTGGTCCTGATTGACAAACCGTGCAAACCCATTTCCTAATCCCTACCGGTATCTTTTCAGGGGGGGGGGGAGGAGAAGAAAACCCAAAGTTCTGCATTCCGAAAAATGTTGGCTAATCATTATGGCCCAAACCCCCTTTCAAACCATTTGGAAACCGGCTGGGGTTCCTGGCAAACCGGGGAAGGGGGGAGAGTTGATTGGGACATAAATCAGGGTTAGATGGTAACCTTTTGCTCTGATGTTCTAAGTTAGGAAGCAGTTGAAAAGCCAAGATTTTCGGCTAATCCCCGGGTTCACAATGATAAGGGAGACCAAGATCCAACTGGGGGCTCCGTACCCTTCTCCAGGCAGGGGAAGGACTGGGGGTCCTTTGAGGACCTGTCCGTAAGGACCCGAATGGGGTCTGCCACCCCGCAGGTCATCCACCGCCTGCCGATGCCCAACGTTAACGACGAGCTGCACCATTCCGGCTGGAACGCCTGCAGCAGCTGCTTCGGAGACACCACCAAAAAGCGCAACCGTCTCCTTCTTCCCAGCCTGATCTCGTCCCGGGTATACGTGATCGACACCGGCACCAACCTGCGGGCCCCCAGGATCCATAAGGTACACACTGGGCCTGGCTGGTGCTGAGAGGGCCTTTGGGGACCCCTCCATAGGGGGCTTCACAGAACTATCTCCTTTCTCACACCGCCCACCACTGGGCAAAGCTTGGGTGGTGAAGGGCTGGGTGTGTCTGTCCATGGTCCACCTCTCCAGCCTAATCTTGTATTGCAGGTTATCGAGCCCATTGACCTCTATTGGAAGTGCAACTTGGCAAATCCTCACACCACACATTGCCTGGGCACTGGTGAGATCATGATTAGCACCATGGCTGACCCTTCCGGCAACGGAAAAGGTATGTCTTTTTTATGTGTTTTTTTTTTAAATCTGCCTTTATTATTATTATAAATAACTCAAGGTGGCCAACATATCTAATACTCATGTGTCCAATCACACTTGGCCAATAAAATATTCTACTCTATTCTGTTCTGTATTCTACTCTGGTCTGTTTTGTATTCTATTCTGTTCTGTTCTGTATTCTGTTCTGTTCTCTATTCTGTTCTATTCCATTCCATTCCAATTCCAATTCTACCTGAGAATATTTGAGTGGGAGAAATCAGATGGAGATATTGTCTAAGCTTGTCTCAGCTTTGTGCAATCTCTGTGCAATCTCTCAATGGCTCTGGGGGGGGAGGAACGGCGCCGTTCACCCTCTGTTCCAAGAACACTGAAAGAATTTATGTTCGTTTAATGCCCTATTGGATGCTGCCTGTCTTCACTTTCTTCCAAACCGCTGGTGAGATGGGTGGCAAATAAATTTAACAAATAAATAATGTTTTGTTTTCACCGGCAGGGGGTTTTGTGCTGCTGGATGGAGAGACCTTTGAGGTGAAGGGTAACTGGGAGAAAGGCACCAAAGTCCCACCATTTGGCTACGACTTCTGGTACCAGCCCAGGCACAATGTCTTGATGAGCACTGAGTGGGGAGCGCCCAAGTGCTTCGCCTATGGGTTTAACCCAGCCGATTTGGAGAAAGGTGAGAGAACCTGCTGTCATGGCTTCCAAGAGGCCTCTTCCGGTAGTTCCACAGGCACCGCGTATCCTCAGGTCAGAAGCCAAGCAGGCCGTTGGGTCAAAGAGAACCTGGTTGGAAGCATCTTCCATGGTCCAGAATAAGGATTGGAGAAGAAATGGGCAAAGCTTGGCAGGAATTGAGGTCTGAGGGCCAACATCATGGAGGCTACTTGGTGCTCTCTGAGCTTGGTGGTTTTTTGCAGACCTTTCATTACCCAAATTAAGTAACATCCTAAGTGCCAGTGGGGTTCGCTGCAAATGCTCCTTCTAGCACTGGTGATGTTACCTAGTTGGGTCACGAAACATCTGCAAGAAACATCTGCAAGAAACTCAGCTCAGAGAGCATCAAGGAGCTCTCAAAGCAAACCTATTACTAACCAAATTTACTTTTCCCCCTTTCTCACCTCCGAAGGCTGCTACGGCGGAAACATCAACGTGTGGGACTGGACCACTCACGAATTCATCCAGACGATCGACGTGGGCAAGAACTCCATTCCGCTGGAAATCCGATTTCTCCACGACCCAGATGCGGCCGAGGGATACATTGGCTGCGCTCTCAGCAGCGCCGTCCACCGTTTCTACAAGACCCCGGTAAAAAAAAAAAAACAACCCAAAAAATGAATAATGACAGCAGCACAGAGTGAAGAACAGTCCTCTGGGAAAAGCCCACGGGCACACAGCCAACCTCTCAGAGACTTAGGGGGTGTGGTAGGCCCCACTCCCTAGAATTGTTAGGGTCCTGAGAACTACTTGTTGCTAAGTGGGCAAGGCACATTTTTTTCAATTTTCATGTTTTGGACGAGCTTTCCTTTGCACTGTGGAATGCAGAAAGGCGACCCCAAAATGCGGTCTAGCTAACATTTCCTTCGAGTCAAACTTGACTTCCAAAGATGTCCACGGAGTTTCTTAGCAGAATGCATTTTTCTGGGATTTTTTTGGGAGGGGGTTAATTCTCCATTTTAGTCTCTAGCCTTAGGAATTTTGAATGGTATCTCATCCAGAGCACACAACAGGTCTGAGCTACCTGAAGTCAGCCAAGGTCACCTTGGTGTGCCACAACTGGGCCACCCAAATTCCATCGTATTGTGAGTAGGAGTTTCTAAATCAGGGATTGCCAAGGCGTGCCACTCGGCCACAAATTCACCCCTTCCGGTCCTCCTCGCATCCCCAAACGTCAATTTGTAAGTTCAGATAATCCTTGGCTTAAAGTAGTTTGTTTAGTGACCGTTCGAAGTTACAACGGTATTGAAAAAAGTGACTTACGACCATTTTTCACACTTACGACCGTGGTTGCAGCACCTCCCCGGTGTCACGTGATCAAAATTTGGATATTTGCCAAATGACGCTTGCCGTCTCCTGGGGTTACATGATCCCCTTTTGTGACCACCTAATCAGCAAACAAGATCCACTTAACCGTGTTATTCTGTAGGTGGGGCTATACCAAGGGTAACTCACCACTTCTGGAGGCAGGTTGTTCCACTGGTTAATTGTTCTAGCTGTCAGGAAGTTTCTCCTTAGTTCTAGGTTGCTTCTCTCCTTGATCAGTTTCCATCCGTTGCTTCTTGTCCTGCCTTCAGGGGCTTTGGAAAATAGCTTGACTCCCTCTTCTTTGGGGCAGCCCCTGAGATACTGGAATACTGCTATCATGTCCCCCCTCGTCCTTCTCTTCATTAAGCTAGACATACCCAATTCCAGCAACCGTTCCTTATATGCTTTAGCCTCCAGTCCCCTAATCATCTTTGTTGCTCTTCTCTGTACTCTTTCTAGAGTCTCAACATCTTTTTTACATCGTGGTGATCAAAACTGGATGCCGTATTCCAAGGGTGGCCTTACCAAGGCATTGTAAAGTGGTATTAATACTTCTCGTGATCTTGATTCTATCCTCCCCTTCTGGCTTTTTTTTCCCTTCAGGAAGGAACCTGGGCAGCAGAGAAGGTGATTCAAATTCCGAACAAGAAGGTCGAAGGATGGCTTCTGCCGGAAATGCCAGGCTAGTCCAGCAAGCTTTATATTGGTTGCTTTTGTAATCGATCTGAGTTGTGTACCACCACCCACAAGAACTTGAAAACACCACCGTCTTGCTTTGGAGCTAAATTCAAACTCTAGCTCAATATAAACTTTCGGCATCTCACCTCCGAGCCAGGAGGGGTTCCTGTTCTTTAATTTCCTCCTTTAATCGTTTATTAGAGGATTCAGGGAGAGTCGTGACCTTCGCCAGATTCCATATTCATTACATGACATGGGTTTTGTAGTGGGTAGCTGCGGAAGAAATATTGAGTCGTTGCGTAAAGACCGTTTTCAACGCAACTTTTATTCAACCAACTATGTGGGCCTTTATGCAGCAAGTCAATATTTCTGTCGGATGCTTGCAAATCTGCTACTTGGCCCAAGTATCTGGGGAGAAAGTTGGTTTCTCCTGTAACTTGCTGCCTCCTGTTAACACAAAACTCTCCTGTAGGTCTCATCACCGATATCCTGATCTCCCTCGATGACCGTTTCCTGTATTTCAGTAACTGGCTTCACGGAGATATCCGCCAATACGACATTTCCAACCGCCGGAAGCCCAAGCTGGTGGGACAGGTAGACACAGGGGGCAGGGAAGGAAGGGGGGGGTGCATCATTGCTGGGGGGGGTGTCACTGACTCTGCGGGTGATGTGGGAGATCCTCACCCAGCTGTGTCTTTGCCCGTGCAGGTGTTTGTAGGAGGCAGCATTGTCAAAGGGGGTCCCGTCAAAGTGATTGAGGATCCAGAACTGGATTGCCAGCCGGATCCATTCGTCGTCAAGGTGGGTCAAGGCACTGGGCCCCTTCCCCCTCCTGGATTATTTTTACTTTTTTTTTTTCTTGGTTAAGTCTCTCTCTCCTTCCATTTCACTTTCGCATTTGTGCAAGGGACCTTCAGCTCCACAGGAAATTTCGCAGCCAAACCATCTTCGCAGAACACACAGAATAACAGGGTGGGAAGGAACCTTCTGCTCCAGGGGTGTCCAAACTTGGCAACTTCAAGACTAGTAGACTTCAGCTCCCAGAATTCCCCAGTCAGCCCGGGGAATTCTGGCTCAAAGCCTTCTCCGCCTCTTGGGCAAGTCATCCCAAGTTGGGTCACGTCCGTTTTCTCCTCCTTCACCCCAGGGCAAGAGAGTTCCAGGTGCCCCCCAGATGATCCAGCTGAGCCTGGATGGAAAACGTCTGTATGTCAGCACCTCTCTCTACAGCGGATGGGATAAGCAGTTCTACCCAGACATGGTCAAGTAAGACGGCCTCCCCTTCGCTTTTTTCCTTTGCTTGTTCAAAACAGACACAAAGCTGGGTCTTGAGACAGGCAGAAATAAATCTGGAAGTTGTGTGGTGTAGTTTTTCGAAGGTTGCTAGAATCGCTAGGCCAGTGATGGCAAACCTTTTAGAGACCGAGTGCCCAAACTGCAACCCAAAACCCACTTATGCATCGTCAGGTGGCCCATTGGGTGGGCGTGGCTGCGGTGGTAACAGCAGACTGGGTGGGACTAAAAAGTTCAATCAATCAATTCCAATTTTGCAAGATTTTTTTTCCCCGCAAGGTTAAAATTGATTGATTGAACCTTTTTTTTTTTTTGCACACGGCGGCGGAGGCCTAAAGCGAAAAGGTTTTATAAAACGCAGCTGAAGGCCTAGGACTGGGGCGACGGCGCGCGTGCCCACAGAGAGGGCTCCGAGTGCCGCCTCTGGCACCCGTGCCATAGGTTCGCCACCACTGCGCTAGGCCTTAATTCACCACGAGCGTGGAATTTAAAGGGACACTTTAAATAAATGTAAAAGGCATTTTACGTTTGTGTGTCTGCAGCGTCGACTTCCAGAGCAGGGAGAGTCCGTCCAACTTCAAGTTTCGTAACTGCGGTTGTTCTCAAAAACACATAGTGAAATTCTGTTTTATCTTCTTCCCCCCCTCCCCCCAGGGAAGGCTCCGTCATGCTGCAAATCGATGTGGACAGCAAGAAAGGAGGCTTAAAAGTGAACGAAAAGTTCTTAGTAGATTTTGGGAAAGAGCCAAATGGGCCAGCCCTGGCCCACGAGATCCGCTACCCGGGTGGCGACACCACCTCCGATATCTGGCTCTAACGCTGCCCCCAGCTTCCAGCTCACCAGTTTTTCCTTCAGCTGCTGCTTCTCCCTTGCCTGCTCCTGTGTGCAGTTCCCTCCGGATAGGGTATGCCTTGTTCTGCCACAAGGGGGCGCTCACACACCGCACCCACTTTGCTGTGATTCGATCTCAACCCCGGGACTTCTGACATCGGATTTTTAAGCATCTCCACATTCCCGCTTTCGCCCCACTTTCGCTACTGCACAGCCAGGGAATCGCACATTTTTACCAAGAAGGAAATATTTTAGGCAATAAATTGTGCCCACAATTTTTCTCAGGGAAGACACGGGAGCGTGAAACCCATGTTTTTCTGTCTTAAGGCTCCCCGTAGCGGAGGAATTAGCAAAGCCAATGATCGTATCGCTTGTGTGCAGGTAATCCTCGGCTTACAGCCACAATGTCATTGCTAAGAAAGGCAACTGCAAAGTGAGTCGCACATTTTTTTGTCACGGTTGCTACATTCAGTCCATCCGGCAGTCCTTAAGTGCTTGTTGGAAGTCGGTTGGGAAGGTCGCAGACGTTGATCACGTGACCCAGGATGCTGCGACCGTCGTGAATTATTCATGCTGGTCGCCCAAACGCCCAAATTTTGATCCCGTGCCCAAAACCACCGACGGTCGTAAGGGCGAGGGTCAGTCATAAGTCTCTTTTCAATGCTGTTGTAACTTTGAAATGGTCGTAAGTCGAGGACTGTCTATATTTGGAGCAATACAGGCTCATCCCTCGTTTCTTGGGCCTGTGTGAAATCCTTTGATTCAGAAGTCGTGGAATACAGACGGGGCTGTTTGTGATTTAATAAGCAACAGAGCCCTTCGTGGAACCTCTTAGCGTTACCTCTAGCAAAAGCCTTCAGAAATACAATAATGTATTTCTTATCTTTGCTGCTTCGCTGTTCTTTTAAAAAAAATAAATGGATTTTCAAGAGCAAAGCGTTTCTCGCCTACCCAAATTTCTTCTCGTCGTCTCCACCCAAGTAGACAATTGTGCAATAACAATGAGTAGCCACCAGCCATCACAAGCCATCAGCCCTCACCCCTTTGGCCACAACATTAGAGGCAGGTGGCAAAGGAGGGGAACGCTGCTCCGTTTCTCACGAAATGTGTCGGCCTGAAACCTGAATGTCTGTAGCCCGGGGCTCCCCGCCTCCCAGCAGTGTTCACACTTTTGTCTTCAGCTCTGAAGTCTCTGGCCCTTTAATCTACGGGAGAAGAAAACAGAAAGCCAAAATAAGCAGTAATTGCCCTCCGAACCCTTACTAGGAAGCCAGTTTGGTTCCACCTTCAGTAATTTAACAAACCTTTTATTTGATATGGTGACAGAACTTTGGAATGTGCGAGACTGCCTTTTGTGTTAAAAAAAGTGTCACACCCAACAACTGTCGCCTGCCTGGGCATCCTCCACAGGACTTGAACGGTCCAGGTCCGTAGAACATGGAAGTTGGAAAAAGAACTTTGGAGATCACCTAGACCAGGGATAGGTAACTTTGGCTCTTTTAAGACTCGTGGACTTCAATTCCCAGAATTCCTGAGCCAGCCATGCTGAGGGGAAAGGGAGAGGTTTCCAAGCTGAGCCATGCTGGCTCAGGAATTCTGGCAGTTGAAGTCCATGAGTCATAAAAGAGCCAAAGTTACCTACCCCTGACCTAGACTAACCCCCTTGTCTGGTGTGGCAATGCAGATGGATCAGACTAAGACTCATTTCATTCAGGACGATGCTGCCTCATAAATGCAGGTGGCTACGGCTCTGTTTTCTATCCACCCCAACAAATGGACGGGAGGGCAGATGGGTAAAAACCTTAGGAAGAGCCAGGAGGAGGCAAGGAAGTTAAAAATAATGGTAAAACTCTGGCTAAGAAGGGAGAGTTAAACAAAAGAGATTAAAGAGGAAAGAAGGGAGGTAAGGCCCAGTCAATCACTTCTGACATTCCAAAAGCAGAGTCACCAAAGGACACCAATTGGCTGGTGCCCACAAGTGCCCATCAGGAAGAGCTTAGCGGGCGTGATTGACATGACTCTAGAGGAGTTGGTCTTTTCAAAGGGATTAGATGAATCAACAAACAAGATATAGGCTGCAGGATCGACTTCCTATCTCAGGCTGGAAAGGTTAGGCAACAAGGATCTGAACTAGCAAGGCAAAGTTTAGAATAGAATAATAATAGAATTCAAAGGGACCTTGGAGGTCTTCTAGTCCAACCCTCTACTCAAGCAGGAGACCCTATAGAGATAGATAGATAGATAGATAGATAGATAGATAGAGAGAGAGAGAGAGAGAGAGAGAGAGAGAGAGAGAGAGAGCAAAAATAAATTTCATGAAAAGTGCAAAAATAATTTCATTGGAAGTTTATTTTGGTAATACAGGACATTTCTGAATACATCAAAACTCCAAATCCTTACAAAAGATGATCCCTGGTGACTTCAACAGGTCCACGCTCCTCACTGCAGGATCACAAATATAGTTGAAAGTAATTCCAAATACTTTATTTTTAATTCTGACTTGGTTTGGTCCTTCTAAAAGGACATGGCTGAAGATTAGCTCAGACTCCACCAATATTTTAAAATGTGTGCCTTGGCTAAAATTGCCTGAAGAATTCTTCAAGAGCTGGCTTTATTTCAAGAAAGTAAGGTCAACTCCAGGACCTGAAGTCATTTTAGTTAACTTTTGCCTTTAGTTACCTGAAGCCACTAGTCCTCTACATGCTTTGCTTCTTTTGAAGGTTTGAGCCTTGACCAAAACTTCCCCAGGTCCCAAGAACTGACTTTATTCAAGAAAGGGCAACTCCAGGGACTGGAGCCATTTTGCCTTTAAGCTACTTTGAATGCTTGTTCACCTGGGGTCATTTAGCCCTTTCAACTGCACCTGCCTACAATTCCCTCCGCTTACTGCAAGGACGTGGCTGAAATTAACTTCAGACTTTACTCCAAAGCTAACTCTTATTCACCTGTGGTGGTTTGGTCCTTTTTTTTTAAACGGACATGGCTGAAATTACCTCAGGTTCCACCAAAATTTTTAGAACCTGCGCTTTGGCTAGAATGGCTTCCAGACACGGCGGTTTGCGTTGTTCCCCGAGGGAAATAAGTATCTTTAGTGACCTCTGTGGTATTGGAGTCCTTCGAATAAAGCGCCCTTGAGTTTTTACCTCAGCCACCCCTGGAGGCGTTTTACAGGTGCTATTAATTAGCAGCTAAAGGACTCGCGCTCCCCTCAGGCATCTCACACCGTGGAAAAGTCTCCGCTAGAATTACCTCAGAGCTCAAAAGGCCCTGCCCGGCCTCGAGCTCGAGGGCTTGGGCCGCGGGAGCGCCGGAGAGAGAAGCTTTTTAGCCCCCCCCGGCGCCCCGCAGCCTCGACCCTCGCGGGGCCCGAGAGACGCGGGAGAGGCGTCTGCGCTCCGCCTGAGGGAGCCCGCCGACTTTTTAAATGCCCCCGCCTCTCGGACAGGGGGACAGGCCGCTGAGCCAATCCGAGGGACGCGTTTTCCGAGCAGCCAATCAACGGGCGAGATGGGCGTGCAGAAAGGAGCGCGCGAGGCGGCCCCAGGGCGCTGGGCGGGAGAGGCGCGCGCTCGTTCGTTCGCGCGCAAAGACAGGTGCGATGGCTCGGCTGGTTCCCCAGGCTCGCGGGGCGGTTGCCATGGAGACGGCCGCGGAGCGCGGGAAGGCTCATCACGGCCAGGTGGGCTTCGGCCCGCACAGGTGAAGGCGATTAGGCCTGCTGCCAGGCTGGGTGTGTGTGTGTGTGTGTGTGTAATGCCTTCTTCTCAAGGTCCACCTAGGGACTACAAACCCCATCCGTCAGGCAGCCAGCGGGTCTCCCCCCCTGTGCATGGGAGGCCCGGTTTTTAAAACACCCCCAACATTTTTGCAGCAGTGCTTTTTAGGATGGAGAGATCCAGAGGGTGACTTTGGGCTTCTGCTGAGGAATGCTTTGGATTGCAAGTCCCATCAGCCACCTCCGGGGTGGGGAGGTGTTGATAGGGATGGTCCCTTCTTGCAACAATTTTTTTTTTGGCTCATGTTGAGCAGGTTCCCCGCCCCCTGCTTAAAATGCTCACTGGTTTTACAAAAAAAACTGAAAATGTAATACATACAAAAAAAATAATAAAAATAAAAAATATGGTTATATGTACAGTATATAGGAGATACTTTGGACTACAGGTCCCATTAGCTGGCCTTGGGGGTGGATGATGGGGATTGCCTCTCTTGCAACAGATTGCCCTTCTGGTGGGTGGGCCATCCCCTCCACCTAAAATTCAAAGCTCTTTTTCTGTTTTTTTGTTTACACCTTCTCCACTCTGTCACAATCTTGCCAGGCAGCCCTTGGTTTTATTTTGAATTTGTTACTATTATTATTATTTTCAGTCTTTTTTTCTTTTAAGAAAAAAAACAAAACCCCAGGACTGATTTGTTTGGCTTTGCTTTGTTTTTCTAGGGATTCTGCTAACATGTTATAATAGAGTCTCTGATACATAGTGTCTTGCCCAGTGAAAGAAATGGACTCAAATTTGAAACTATTTCTTCCTTTTTCTATTATTGTAACTCTTCCCAGCCACAGTTAGATGTTTTCAAAAGAAGCCTAATATATTTATATCCCCATCATAAGGATTTTAATAACTTTTCATGAGACCCCTCTCAACATTTTCCACCATGTTGCGCCCTCCAGATAGGGGCCTATATACCATTTCAGACAAATGTCTATGGAGATTCTCAGTCATCCAGATCATGGTTGTCCCAAAGGTGCTTTTTCAAGAGGCAACTGGACTTTCTTGTTTTTATTTGAAGACATTTCGCTTCTTCAGCTCTGACCGGATGATGGGGAATGGAAGCATATATATCCCTTGCAGACAGATGGTCATTTGCATTCTTTTAGAGCAGGGGTCTAATTCTGGGAGTTGACGTCCACAAGTCATAAAAGAGCCAAGTTTGAAGACCCCTGTTTTAGAAAGTCATTGAGGCCACTCGGAGGTTTATCCATGTCCTCAGAGTGGTGCAAATGGGTGTGGAGCCTTCTTTCAGCAGTTCCTGCTCCACTCCAGCCCCCTAATCATCTTTGTTGCTCTTCTCTGCACTCTTTCCAGAGTCTCAACATCTTTTTTACATCGTGGTGACCAGAACTGGGTGCAATATTCCAAGTTTAATTTTATCATTCTCTCTTCTCGGACCTACTTTACCAATCTTCTCTCTGCACAAGGTGTCCATCTTGTGACATATACCACACGAAGCGGTACATAAGTCTAAGAGTGCTATTACTAGTGCTACTGCTGTCTCTTTTGTTCCCCTCTCAAAGGGTGGCTGCATCTGCTTACAAAAAGCATTTCTGAAACTGGGTCTGGGGGGGGCCAAAGTACAAGGCTGGTTCCTCAAGCAAGACAGATGGACAATATTTAATATTTATTTGCTACGTATATGTCGAGATGTGGGTCTATGTTGTTCATAGTATGTTCAGGTGTGTGTCATGTATGTGTTTTACTTTGAGAGCGGGCCACTAAATTTCATTTTTGATGTGTGCCATTGTGCCCACAGTATAAAAATGACAATAAAGGTTATCTTATCTTATCTTATCTGCTTTTGCTGGCTGTGCTCCAATTAACCGTGCTTGTTCCAATCCAAGACGCCAGCCATCAAAACCAGGCACTACTCGTTTCGACAAAGTTTCCTTCCCATCGAAGTTGTATTTTTAAGTTAGAAAGGGTCATCTCTTCACCTGGCTGAATGTCCACATCTGGGGGTGGAAGAGCTCCTCCCAAAAGCTAATTTAGTACCATGGTTAAGGTACTGGGTTACATCCTGAAATGGGTTTTAATGATTGTTAACGTGTGAACTGAATAAAATATTATCCCAACAGGCCGAAGACTGGCTGTCAAGCAAATGGTTGCATCCACTCTCCTGTTTAGATTTCGACGTTGCAGGGTAGAGTCCTTTCATTGTAGTTGCAGCAGAGATGCTCAATCAGGTAAAATCAATCGCTAATAATCCTGAGCAGCACAGACGGGAGGCAGAGGCAAAGCCTAGCCAGAATGGAGGTAATATAATCTACAGCTGTGGGGAACGAGGATACCGAATGAAAACGCTGAGCTCCAGAAAAGAAGCCAAGCCACAAGGCAGATCTCCAATTTTCTCAGTTTCATGCCCTCACGGTGCTCTTCTTGACTTTCTGGAACAGCAAGTCTCTCGCTTTCCCCTCTTCTCATCAACGCAAAAAGTGCTATTATTTCAAAATGCACTGATAAGATGGAAGGTAAGTAAATATCTGGGCTGAGGCTTGATCCACCATGTTTGCTGGACCCAAATTCTTGGGGACTTGGAGAAGAAACCGCCAATTCTAGCTTCTCAAGACTGGAAAGCAACTCAAAAACCTTTCCTTTACTCCGAGGGGCAGATAACGTGCAGGCAAGGCCTCCGTTCTTTTCGGGAAACCCTCCAAATCTCCCCACTCAATTGAGCTTTTCAAACCTCAGTGCTCGTCACCTGAACCTCACGTGAAAAATACTAAACACACCTTCACATCTGCCTGGAACGATGTTTCACCAGAATAGTGTGCTGTTGAGTTGCTAGGCAAACGGAAGATTTGGAGTGGAGAAATCCATTTTCTGTCCCTAATTGAGGGTGCAGGGACTGCACAGACCACATCCGCTTGCAGACTTAATACGTGTGTGAACATCTGGATTCAAGGACATGATGGGATCTCAGAACTTGCATGCACAACCCAGCCTGTTTCAGCAGGGGGTCTCTTTCCGCAGTGGTTTAACACCTTGCCAATGGGCTGTTCTCAATGTGCCCCGAATTGCATTCACCTTTTGAATCTGGATTTTCACAACGAAGTTGGGGAAGCCAGAAAGCCAGAAGAGATTATAGGGCTTCAGATAAGAATCAGATCAGGCGTAATTAAAAGTGTGAGAAGAACTCGAAAGCAGATGTCGTGGGACCTCGTGCTCTGAAGAGCCCCACCGGGTGTGGAATCTGGTGGGAGATGGAGGGAGGGAGGGGGCTGGTTTGGCCCTCTGGGGTTTCAGGAATCAGCTCTTTCGTTCATGAGTTCCTTCCGGAGACCACGCCTTCTGCGTACACCCTCTGTGGCAAGACTCGGCGCGGCTTTATAAACCGCCTGCAAACAACCTGGGGAACGTCAGGTGTGCGAGTCCAGGCACAGCAGAAGAGAGAGCGGAGAAAATGTTCAAGCATCAAACAAAGGATGCTCAGAAGGATCTTCCACAGACGCCAAGCAAAGGTAGGAAGTCATCCCTTCTCGTGCCTCCCAGACCGCTGACTTCTCCCCCAATGCCGGCTGGCGACCCCCAGGGGGAGAGCCTTCTCTGTGGCAGCTCCTGCCCTCTGGAATGACCTACCCCCCGACCTACGTACAGTTGCGGACCTGCGCCTTTTTGCGGCTCGGGACTTCCGGGTAGATAAGGCACGCCGGCCGGACCGCATCAAACTAATACAAAATCACCCCCCAAAACATACCCCACAAAAATGAACAGGCCCGTTATTTAATTTGATTTTAGAACAGAAACTATTTATTTATTATTGTGGTTTTTAGTATCGCCTGTTCACCGCCCTGAGTCCCGTAAGGGAGATAGGGCAGTATATAAATTTAATAAATAAATAATAAATAAATAAATAAATAAATAAATAAATGCGGCCTGTCCTCAGCCTTTCTTAAAAAACCCACCTCACCCTTGCAAAGATGGGGTTACACCCCACAGATGTTCAGAATAAAGGAGTTGGAAGGGACCTTGGAGGTCCTCTAGTCCAGCCCCCTGCTTGAGCAGGAGACCCTCTACCATTCCAGACAGATGGTTGTCCAATCTCTTCTTAAAAAAACTCCAGTGATGGAGCCCCCAAAATTTCTGGAGGCAAACCGTTCCTCTGATTAGTTGATCTGGGATTATAAAATAACAGAATGCCAGAGTTAAAAGGGACCTTGGAGATGAGCTTAAGCCTAGCGTGGCATGCAAGGAAACCCGCCCAGGAGGGAGAAGGAAAAACCCCAGGGTTTGTTATTTCTTAGTTCCAGATCTGTTTAAAATGTTTTTTTCTCGTAAGTAGGAGGGAAGCAAATTCCCAACAATGAATTTGATCCAAGCTAATGAGAAGGGCCAGATTGGTTTAGGAGGGGAGAACAAGGGGAGCTTGCCAGGGGTCAACCCTGGGGAAGGGTGTCCACCTTTCTGAAATGTATTTTTGTCGATAGTCGTGAGGCAAATTATTTGACTGCTTCCTGATTGGTGTGTCTTATATCCTGTCCTGGAAACATAATTGATGAAGAGTAATATGAAAATTGGTGGGTTATTTTTCCTCCTATTAATTAATTAGCAACTGAAAGGAAGGGGTGTGGAAAGAAGGAAGACATGCATTATAGGAGCTGGTGAATGGTATACTGACAGCCAGGTCAAAAATATAGTCACCTTACGTAAGACTTACTGCCAAGGCCGTCCGGCTTCTTCCTTTTAGCATTCGAGCAGAGTGTGTTTTGCCACAGCAGCGTCAACAGAGGAGAAGGAATATCACGCACGCAATCAGAGACATGAGTTGCCACAGCAGAACAATTAATTCACAGGCAGGGATGAGCAATGAATTAGATTGCGGGCTTATCGCGGCATCGAAATAAATGGGGGAAACGAAACAGCCAAATCAGAAGAGATAATGAGCTGCCGTTTTTGTTTCCGCCAAGCCTTTAATTTCATGTTTTGATGAGTTGATACCTTTGCCCTCCTTAAGGTGCTTCACTCACAGGAAGTCCTCCCCTGCCTCTCTACCTGGGCCCGTGCAGCCTTACCAGGTAGATCAGATGGGAAACCCAAACAGATACGGTGATTCCACCGTATTGTGAAGCAACTGCAGGGAGGTTGAGCCATGCCAAGGGGTAGTAGGAAGATCCTTTTGTTCAAGAACATGTCCAGTTTCTTCTGATCAGTCCCATCAGGGATGTTCTTCTCTCTCCTGATGCCAAGTTGCTAAACTATTCTTCTTTCTTCCTAAAGAAGGAGGAGGAGGAGGAGGAGGAGGAGGAGGAGGAGGAGGAGGAGGAGGAGGAGGTGGTGGTGAAGGATGTGGCTGTCAGGGTCCTGGATATCCAACACCTTTGGATGCCATGAAAGGTAAGCATGAGTGATCCTCTTTCCTTCTGGATGCCAGGGCAGGGCAGGGCAGCTGAGGTTAGGACCAGACAAAGCCACAGAGATGAAGGATGGGTTCATACTTCATATTAAACTACTCGTTTGGACCGTGGTATGCGGAACACGCTCAACATGGGTGTTGAGCCATTGGTATTGGGACTCTTGACCAACAATCCATGCGCTCCAGTCCCACAGATCCAGGAAGTGACTCAGAGTACCGTAGATTGACCACTACCGGTCAATGCGCTCAACCTGGCCTGATGCAAATAACAGAACAACAGAATCACAGAGTTGGAGGTCATCTAGTCCAACCCCCTGCTCAGGCAGGAAACCCTACCCCTTTTCAGACAAATGGCTATCCAGTCTCTTCTTAAAAACTCCTAGTGTTGGAGCACCCACAACTTCTGGAGGCAGGTTGTTCCACTGGTTAATTGTTCTAACTGTCAGGAAAAACCCAACAGCTATTTCTGCACAGCTCGGTTTGCCTGAACCTAGTTAGGATTTTGTATTAGTGCAGATCCTTGAAAAGCCTTCTATTCTGATTCAGTCTCTGGCACGGGTTAATCCAGTAACCCAGTTTAACAGGGTGCGGGAATGCAAGTCTAGCAAACTGCAGCTCAGATAGAACCATTTTAAGATTCAGACGCAAGATCCTAAAATGTGGGGGGTTTTCTTCTCCTTAGGCCCCCGAGAGAAGCTGATCTACGTGCCTTGCATCTTAACTGGCACAGGGGCCCAGAAGCCCGATTATCTCGCCACGGTGGATGTGGATCCTGAATCTTCCAATTACTGCCAAGTACGAGATTACTTAGTTCTTTGGGAGGATATTGTTTGGTGGCTGGGGTGGAAGTGGAGTAAGGCTGCACCAAACTCATCAGGCTAAACTGGGGTTAGTTTTAACCAGAGTTTATTGAACAAGCCAATGGGTTCTGGGTTTCACGGCACACTAATCCAGAACAAACGAATGGTGGTGTAGCACAGTGTTCCTAGTGAACACTTGTTAAAGAGAAGCTAAGGGTGGCGAACATCCTTTAAAGCAGGGGTGGGGGATGATGCTGGCTCAGGAACTCTGGGAGTTGAAGTCCACCAGTCATAAAAGGGCCACCGTTCCCCACCTCTGCTTTAAAGGTGGAAGCAAAAAGCTTTATGCCTTCCTTGGTAGGCGCAGATATGAGGAGACCGGAAGTCTAGTCATTTCAAGCCGAGGCCCCGAATTCTCTTCCCTGAACTGCTAGACCAGTGATGGCGAACCTTTTAGAGACCGAGTGCCCAAAGTGCAACCCAAAACCCACTTATGCATCATCGGGTGCCGGGTGGGCGTGGCCCATTGGGTGGGCGTGGCTGCGGTGGTAACAGCAGACTGGATGGGACTAAAAAGTTCAATCAATCAATTCCAACTTTGCAAGATCTTTTTTTTCCCCCGCGAGAAGTTGAAATTGACTGATTGACTGAACCTTTTTTTTTTTTACATGGCGGCGGAGGCCTAAAGCGAAAAGGTTTTATAAAACCCAGCTGAAGGCCTAGGACTGGGGCGACGGCGCACGTGCCCACAGAGAGGGCTCTGCGTGCCGCCTCTGGCACCCGTGCCATAGGTTCGCCACCACTGTGCTAGACTTTGGTTGAAAGATAAGCCGTTGCTTTAGAATGCATAGCCACTACTGCAACATGAAGCATTATACACCAGGTTGCAGACCTAAAACAGGACTCCGTTTATGAAACTGCAAAAAAAGCTTAACGTTTACCCAACATGTTCAGACACATTGTCAGTTTCTAAAACACCTTTTTTGCTGATTACTAGAATCAAGACATCAAGACCTGGGAATAATTAAGCTAAATAAATTAAGGGTGTCCTTTGTTCTAAGCCCAGCAGAGCTAAGCAGCTTTGGGCTTCTGGACTGGTTCAGGACGTTCTGTTTGTCTGCCTCCTGATTCTCCCGAGGCGGATCTGCTTTGTTTCACAGTTTTGTGTCAGCAGAGTCCTAGCCTAGATCCACACAGGCACAGACACTCTTAACTGGATGCAGATGAGGCTGGAACCCTCGTGGTAGACCTTCAGAAAGCCTGAAGGCCGGAGAGGATCATTAGCTGGTACCGCAGACACCTACGCTGCAATGCTGGATCTGGCATCCAGACATGCAGGGAGGGTCCCTTCCTTGTCCCAATGGGTGTCTGCAGCTCCCGAGGCCAAGGCTTGGAATGGTGGAGCACCATTGTGCAGAGGGCGCGTGAAAGACGGGGAAGGGACAGACCAGGCTGGGTGTTTTAAGGGACGCCGTTCCTGTTGGAGAGGTTCCACTCGCCAACTGGAAGAGGGAGAACAAAATTCTATTCTGCAAGCGGCGTCCGGCGTCCAAAGACACGCACAAATCACGAACCCTTCGGAATCCGACGGAGACGCACAACTCCAGGCCAAGAGATAAATAAGATGTTTATTTTCTGCCACCCCTTTCCTTTCCCTACCAGATTATTCACCGGCTGCAAATGCCGTATCTTGACGATGAGCTTCATCACACTGGCTGGAACGCTTGCAGCAGCTGCTTCGGAGACACCACCAAGAAACGCAACCGTCTGGTCCTTCCCTGCCTCAACACTTCGCGGATTTATGTTGTGGATACCGGGACTGACCCCCAAGCTCCCTGCCTGTTTAAACATCCGGGGGGGTTTGCGTGTGGGGTTGTCCCGCGTTAGGTCCCTTTACCCAACGTTTCCCGAGAGTTTCCTGGAACTTCACCCGATTTCGGGTTCCCTAAAATATGACTCGCAGTGAGTAGGGAACTGGACCGGAAACATTCTCTAACTTCGGTTTCAGGTGGGGGGGTGACAGGAACTGGTTACAGAGGAGAACGGATCCCCGACTCTGGCAGGTGATTGAGCCCAGAGAGGTCTTCTGTAAAACCAACCTGGCTACGTTACACACCTCACACTGTCTGGGCAGCGGAGAAGTCATGATCAGCTCCATTGGGGACCTATATGGCAATGGAAAAGGTACCGCCGGGCAGATTGGTTTTCCAGAGAGGGGGTCCAGATTGAGGTGCTGTTAAGAGCAGCTGTGACTCGGAAGATGTTGGGAGGGAAACCTTTCACACGGACTCCGAAACGCGGAAATTTAAGCCCTAGGCTGCTACCATCTCTCGGGCCTCTCCGAGTGGGGCAAATCATTTTCAGCCCACCCTTCCTGGGAGTCACCTACCCCTGTCTGAATTAATTTGCACCCCGCCCACCCCCCAATCGCAGGCGGATTTGTTCTTGTGGATGCGGAAACCTGGGAAGTGAAGGGCACCTGGAACCGCCCCGGGGACGAGGCTCCACAAGGATACGACTTCTGGTATCAACCCAGGCATAATGTCTTAATCAGCACGGAATGGGGTGCCCCCAAATACTTTGTGAATGGGTTCAACCCTGAAGATCTGAAGAAAGGTGAGATGACAGAACACTGCATCGGCTTAAAGCCCATCGGGATCCAAAATTCGGGAGGGGGGGTGGGCTGGACTCTCAACTTAAAGAAGGCTCCAAGAGGTCTTGAGGAAAGTTGGCACCGAGGGGGTGTTGGTGGCCATCTAGCGCAACCCTCTTGTCCAGCTAGCCTTTCTCCAAGAGGTGGCACCTCAGCTGCTGCTTGGAGGCCTCCAACATGAGAAAGCCCATCATCTGTCTAAGGCAGAGGTCCCCAACCTTGGCCACTTTATGACTTGTGGACTTCAACTCCCAGAATTCCTGAGCCAGCATGGCTCAGCTTAGAAACCTCTCCCTTTCCCCTCAGCATGGCTGGCTCAGGAATTCTGGGAGTTGAAGTCCACGAGTCATAAAAGAGCCAAGGTTGTCTACCTACCCCTGCATCCTACTGACCAGAAGACGTTGAACCGATTCGTCTCCTTTCCTCCGCAGACCGCTACGGCCGCCGCTTGAATGTGTGGGACTGGACCACCCACTGCCTTCTCCAGTCCATCGATGTGGGGGAAGATTCTGCCCCACTGGAGATCCGCTTCCTGCACAACCCGGATGCCGCGCACGGCTTTGTGGGCTGCACCTTCGAGAGCTCCATACACCATTTTTTCAAGAAAGAGGTGGGTGAAAAAACCACGATTTCTTTCTTCTTTCCTCCCTATTTCCGTCCAAAACAACTGGCGACTGAGGCTTCAGCTGAGAATAAAATACAGAACAATTGGTTAAAACGCACCATGGCCAACAAAACGTTACGCTATAATTAGTATACCATTATCACGAGAAGGAAATCTTGACAAACAGGAACCTGAAGGTAGAACTGCCTTATTATGGTTCGTCTTGTTTCTACGGTAGAGAAACCACAATAGTTTTTGCTGAAGAACAGAGCCGAAAGGGATTGGAAAGAATTACGACAGAATTGGGATAAAATTCGGGTATCGGCAAACCGTAGAAATATTTCAAATCTCACTGAGAGCAGATTAGAAGGCAGATATGGGTAGGAAACGGAGGAGAGGATGAAAATTAGTTGACATGGGAGAACTTTGCACCACCCAACCAGCCAGCCTCTTGTGTCTATTGCAGGACGGGTCGTGGACAGCGGAGAAGGTCATCCAGATTCCAAACAAGGGTGTCACCGGGTGGTACTTTCCTGAAATGCCGTGTAAGTAAATAAAGTCCAAGAAGGCTTCTGTCCTCATGTTTCTGTCTCAGCCCTATAGCTCTGGAGTTCGCACCTTCTGTTCCCAAATTAAGGATGGTTAGAATCTTTGGAGAATGGGCCGAGTACCCCAGGAACTGAGAGAGGTCCACGTATTTTGGAGAAGGACGATTCATGTGCCGGGATATCCAGGTAATCGAATTCTCTTCCTGACTTTATTCCTGGGCACTTTCTCTTTCCTCCAGCGTTCGTCACAGACTTCCTCATTTCAATGGATGACCGCTTCATCTACCTGAGCAACTTCCTTCACGGCGATGTCCGACAGTACGACGTCACCGACCCCCACTGCCCTCGGCTGACGGGCCAGGTGAGCTCCCTCCCACCCAACGGCCCGGAAATCACGGTTCCTTACTTAGGATCCTTGCAGGCGTCGCTTCTTTCCACCCTTGGAACCAGGATGTTGGGTTAAGCAGAAAGCTCATCCGGGTCTCCTGTATGAGCACCTGGCAGAAGAAGGCTCCACTTCCAAGTACCGCCGTTTGGGCAGAGAAAAATTGCAGGTTGGGGAAGGGGAGACTGTCCTTCGGCCTGAACTGACCCTAACCCCTTTGGGTCCTGCAGGTGTTTGTAGGAGGCAACATCTACAAAGGCGGCGTTGTGACCGTGATTAAGGACGAAGAGCTCGACTGCCAACCAGATCCGTTCATGCTCCAGGTGAGCCTCTCTTTTCTCAGAAGGATTCCGGGTTCGAGACACTCACGGGAAACGTGCTGGGCATAAACGGACAGGGTGGATTCTTCCTTCTCGGTGGGACACCTTGAAATGCTTTCCTATGGCAAAGGAGAGTAAAGAGCCATATGTACCCCTTTATGGACCGCCTACATTTCTTAACCACTCCTCGCTTTTTTTTCACCTCAGGGGAGGAGGGTCTACGGGGGACCCCAAATGCTGCAGCTCAGTTTGGACGGAAAGAGGCTTTATGTGACCAACAGTCTCTACACACCGTGGGACAAGCAGTTTTACCCACAACTGGTCAGGTAGGGTCATCTCGACAGCTGAAGAAAATTCAGAGCAAAGTTGCCCCGGGTGGGAGGAGTTGTTCTCCTTCTCCTTGTGTTACACCTCAAATCCACCCTATTTTTAAGCCCCTCCCTTGCTCAGCTAACCTCCCTTTTTACCCCTGAACTCTTCTTCCTTCACAGGGAAGGGTCAGTCATGCTCCAGATCGACGTGGACACCGAGAAGGGGGGCCTCTGTGTGAACCCAGACTTCCTGGTGGATTTCGGGAAGGAGCCATGGGGTCCCGCTCGTGCACACGAAATGCGTTACCCGGGAGGGGACTGCACCTCGGACATCTGGGTCTGAGATCCTCCTCCAAGCCCACCCTATGCTAAGCCAGCGTTTGGGGGAGGGGCAGGAAGTGTGGCAGGGAGCGACTCAAAACCAGAGTGGTGTTTGTAGCTTAATCCCGTTGCACCGATTTCCACACTTTCACTTACTCAGTGTGCTAAATCATGAAATAAGCTTGCTTGCGCTTAGCTGCAGGTGCTACAAGCTGAGCTCCGTTCAGAGGCAAGTTCCTCTAGATTCTGTTGTCCAGGTGCAAAACTCTAGCCGGGGTTGATGCCTTTCAAAGCACTTTGCTTAGCCATGACACACTACAGATGTTTACAAGTCAGACTTCTGGTGCAATTCTTGCAAATTGGTGGGGAGCCAGTTAAACCCCTCCTGGCAGTTCTAGAAGGACGCGAACGGAGGAATTAAAATTGTCATTGTAATAAAAAGTTTTCTTGGTAGTACAGACTCTTTATTTCAAGCGGAGAGCGCCAACAGGTTGAACCCCCATGGCCCTCAAACGGGAACCGGGTTCGCATCTTCTACCTGCAAACTCGTAGCTAGTATTGTGTGCAAATTCACAGCCGTCGCCTAAAAAAATTCACTGCAGGGCTTCGAGAGGGATCCATCGTAGTTGCAGTTTTGCAGGAAAGCATCTGCGCCCTTCATCCACAGCTGTGCGGAAAGCTGAACGGGATTCAAATCAAGGTCCCGAACACCAGCAAGTGAGGTTAGAACAATCCATCCGATCTGGAGGATATTAACCATGTGGATCTGTAGAAGGCCATCCATGATTCCATTGAAGAAATGCAATCCAACCTCTGAACAGGTTGCAATTTAGGTAGGATCCTCCCACGAGGGTCCGTTTTTAGGCTATTCGAAAAAAACCTTTAAATATCTTCATTGTTGGAGTCTTTCTAATTTCATCGCTGGTCCTACGAAGGCGTTTGACCCAGCAAAATGCCTGGGAATCTCGTCCTTCAATATTTGTGGCTAATCTCCACCATATCATCCTCCAGGTTTATGGAAAGTAGGGCTCCCATTATAACCCAGTCCTACCCATCAGCCATCTTCGGGAATTCCAGCCCCCATAACAGCCTTCTGTTGGGCAAAAATTGACACCCTGAATCGTTCAGACCTGAACCAGGGGATGGTTAAATACAGAGATAAAATTTTTAGCCCACTTAGTGTGCTAATCAACTCAATCAGGAAGGAATGTTTGCATCACACCCAAACATTTTTATTTTTCTTGACTGGTCACCAGTCAATAGGTAATTATCTCCGTCTTCACCTCCCACGTTTCTTTCTAATCTCACAACTGACTTAATCACCTAATCCACAGTTTAGGAGCACGCGCCATAGGTCTGGTGAGTGAGATGAAATTTTTAACTATGTTGTTGTTGTGATCCTTCAGGTCCATCCTGGCTCCTGAGGATTGCGGGGAAAAGTCTGTGTGTGTTTTTCTCGGGATGTGTTTTGAAAGCCTCTGAAGGACCAACGCTGCCTTATTCCTGGGGCTGAGAAAGAAGGACTGGCTCAAAGTCACCCAGCCTGGATTTTGAGCCTGAAACAGGGTTAAAATTTATGGCTTCCTGTTGTCTAATCCAGCAGCTTTAACTGTTATACCAAACTGGCTCTCCAGCCATAACTTAGGCCAGGTGTCTCCAAACTTGGCAACTTTAAGACTTGTGGACTTCAATTCCCATGCTGGCTGGGGAATTCTGGGAGTTGAAGTCCACAAGTCTTAAAGTCGCCAAGTTTGGAGATCCCTGACTTGGGCTATTAATTAATTTTAGCTGCAGGAGAGGGGTTTTCTGTGATCAGCCAACGGATCGTAGAAGAACTAGCTGGTTCTCTGCTGGCTCTCTTGGTTACCCAGATTTTGACAAACCTATTCTAGAAAGATCTCTTCTGCGTAGCCAAGGTTGTTCTTGATATCTGCCAGAAGGCAGAGAAGGAACAAATGCAAACAGCCCAATAAGGAAGACAAATTATGAAATACATCAATCTGTTCCACCCACGAGGATATTAATAGCCGGGGAAGCAATTACGTGGAGACTGTTTGTGCACATGACATTTCTGTCATGTCAGCTCTGAAAATGAATGCACTTGAGGAAGCCCAGTTCAGCTGCACTTAAGTTAGGTTCACGGCAGTCGGAAAAGGTTGGAAAGAGCACGTGTCTCAACCGCAGAAACTGAGGCAAAGCCTTTTGAAAGGTCTTTGCTCCAACAGAAGCTGATAGTAGTCAAATCTGTCAGGGAACCAAGTTCGGCTTAAGTTTCTCACAGAAAAATCCTGAGCATCAGGGGACCCCCCCCCCAAAAAAAGTGGACTTTAACTTTGGCCATTTAACCTGATGCAGAAGAATCCCTGGACCTCACCGAGGTTTTGGTTCCTTCTGCATCTGGGCACCTGGTTTTCCACTCCTACCTTGAAGGCTTATAAATTAACCCATTGTAGCGAGAGTCTTTTTAACACTCACTGTTAGAAAGCTTATCATGCAGACAAGGAAGCAGTCTGAAATCGCTTTTTCCTTGGGATCCTACTTCATGCTTACTCCCTCCAGATGGGGGATACCCTGTTCTGCCACCAGGGGGCGCTGGCGCACTGTGCCCAAGGCCAGCCATCACTTTGTTGTGGGGACGGCCCTAATCCAGGGTTTTAAGCATCCCTAACTAGCAGCCACCGGCTATCATCACGGAGCCATCAGAAGTCACACCTCCAGTCACAACATTAAGGGAAGGTGGCAAAGGAGGAGAAAGGACCGTTTCTCGGGCGGTTTGTGAGTCTGCCCAGTTTGAAAGCGGAATGCCAGGGGCTCCAAGGCCTCCTCCCCTCAGAAGGGGTTTAATCTTAAGTCGGTTGCATTGATAAACAAGACAAACAAAAGCAAAATAAGCCGCGATTTCCCTCTGAACGTTTAATATGAAGCTGGTTTGCTTTCGGCTTCACTGGCCTAACAAGCCCATATTTGACAAAGCGATGGAACTTTGGAATGCGCAAGACCGCCTTTGGCATTATCATTACCCAGCTGGGCTACCTCCACGGAACTTGAATCAAGCTTTGAACGGTCCAAGTCCGTAGAATGTGAGGGTTGGGAAAAGGGGCCTTGGAGGTCACCTAAACTAACCCCCTTGTCTGGTGTGGGAATGCAGATGGATCGGAGAGGGAGTCCTTTCTCCCGCATTTGGGGCCCATAAATGTGGGAGGCTACAGCTCTGTTTTCTAACAAACCCAACAAACGGAAGGGAAAGACCTCAATGGAAAGGAGGAAGGGGCAAGAAAAAGTTGTAAAATTCTATCTAAGAAGGCCGAGCTGAAAGAAAGAGTTTGAACGAGGGAAGACCCAGTGAATCACTTCTGTAATTCCAACTTTCCAAGAGTCATCAAGGACTCTTCCGAATGGCTGGCACTCAGCAACAAGAAGAGCTTAGCAGGCATAATTCAGAGAAGGAACACCCGTCCTAATCAGAATAAAATCTCGTAAACCGCATCAGACACCAAATGAAAAAAGCTGAGCTCCTGAAACGCAGCTGAGACACAGGGCAGATCCCCAATTTTCTCCGTTTTATGTCCTCGTGGTGCTTTTTCCAGCTTCATTGCCAGAAGAATTCTCTTCCCTTCCCCTCTCCCCCACAATGCGAAAACTGGGATAGTTTCAAAAGGCAAGGATAAGGTTTAAAGTTACCACTACTGAAAATAAAAGTTATCCAGGTTAGGACACAGCTGACAAGGCTGGCTGGACCCACATTACGAGGCGCCGAGCTTTCTTGGAATTTGGCGGAGGCGCTGACGACATTTGCAATTCTAGCTTCTAGAGACTGCAAAAGAACCGAAAAGCAAGGATGCTTTTTGGGTGAGAAGCGAAATGTCTTTATAAAACAAAAACAAAAACAAAAAAGGAAGTAAGGCTGTCTTTTGAAAAAGCACCTTTGGTGCAAACCAACTCAAAAACCTTTCATGTACCCCGAGGGGCAGGTGGCGAGCAGGCAGGCCCCCATTCCTTTGGCAAAACACGAAACCATCGCCAAGTTTTGTAGCGTCCGTTTCTTGATTTCTAATGGGCTATTCCCAACGTGCGCCAAACTGCATTTGCCCTGTGAATCTGATTATTCAGATCTGAGTCAGAAAGCCTCTAAAAATGGAAGAGGTGATGTGGCTTCAGATAACCTGTGCTGAGAATGCAGTCAAAAGTATAAGAAAAATTGTGATGAAGCAAAGAAATTAGAGCCCCAAAGGACACGGAAGAAGGCTCCGTCTGCTCCTGTGGGATATATAAACCGGCTGCAAGGAAGCTGGAAACACTCAGATATGCAAGCGGAGGCACAGCAAGACAGAGAGACGGAAATGGTCAAACACCGAGCAAAAGATGCGGAGAAGAAGCTTCCAAAGGACCCAAGCAAAGGTAGGAAGTCAAGACCCGTCTCGTGCATTGGAGGCACCCGACTTTTTTCCCCAAGGCTGCCAGTCCGCAACCTTTTTTAAAAACACCCACATCCCCTTTCTCTCCCCCCCACTGCACAGAAGCTAAATCTCTCTCTCCTCTCTTTTTGAAGACGCAGAAGAATGTTGCTACCCAACACCTTGGATGCCATGAAAGGTAAGAAGGGGGTGATGTCCTCCCGTTCTGGAGAGCAGGGCAGGGCAGGGGATGTTGAGTCCAGCCACAGAGATGAGGGATGGGCTCGTACATCGTTTTAAGCCACCTCGTTGTGGTGTGTGGAAGAAGCTCAGCAAATAAGTTGAGCCATTGGGCGTGGGACGACTGATTTGATATTGGAATCCCTTGACCAACGGTTTAGTCCACAGCCACAATACCCTAAGAGCCTGGGTGAACACCAGTTGTAGCTGAGACAGAACTGCTTTAAGGTTCACACCCAGGAGCCTAAAAGGTGGATATCGTCCCTAGGACCTCGGGAGAAGCTGATGTACGTGATTTGCGTCTTAACCAGTACAGGAACCCAGAAGCCGGATTATCTCGCCACGGTGGATGTGGATCCCAAATCTCCCACTTACTGCCAAGTATGAGGATACTTAGTTCTTTGGGGCGATGTTGTGAATGCTTGTTCATTGGGCCTTTCTTTAACACCTTGCATTGTGATTACAGGTTGAGGAACATTTATACTAACATGTTAAGATACATTCTCAGTTTCCAAAATACTTGGAAACCTGGGAACAATTTACTTTAATCAAACGAAGGGAGTCGTTTGTTCTAAGCCAACAAAGCTTCTGGACTCTTTCCAGCCGCTCTGTTCCTCGGGGCCTAATGAGTATCTTCAGGCGGATCTGCCATGTTCACATTTTTGTGTCAGCAGACTCGTGGTCAGTTACGCCTAGCACAGACACCTTAACCAGGTGCAGCTGAGACCGGAACCATCCTGGGAGAACTGAGGGAAGCTAAAGAATCATTAGCTGGTACCGCAGACTCCTGGGCTATAATGCACTGGGCTTGCTCACAATCCACGGAACAAGCGGGCGATGCTCAGACGCCGGCTTTTGCATTCACACACGCGAGGACTTCAGCTCCTCGTCTCAACCTGTCTGCAGCTTCCGATGCCAAGGGTTGGAACGGTGTAGCACTGTTGCGCAAAGGGTGCACGAAAGCCTGGGAAGGGAAGAAGAAAAAAACTTCTTGTAGAGAGGCCCGTTCTGTCGATGAGGTTCTGCTTGCCGGTTGGAAGTGGGAGAAACCCTGCATTGTGCCAGCAACAATCCACAACCGACACAATCTCCCACCAAGCCGAAGTAGACCTTTCTGTTAACAAAATCCCACTCCTCAAGCAGTGTTCCGCATCCAAAGATATGCAGATCACGAACTCTTGGGAAACAGCGGGAGAAACCCAACTCCAGGAGACAACGTGAACAATGCTTGTTTAATCTCTGGCACCCCAATCTTCTTCCCCCCCCCCCCAGGTTATTCACCGGCTGCAAATGCCGTGCCTTAATGACGAGCTTCACTTCATGGGCTGGAACACTGGAAGCAGCTGCTTCGGAGACGCCAGCAAGAAACGCAACCGTCTGGTCCTTCCTGGTTTCAACTCTTCGCGGATTTATATTGTGGACACTGGGACTGACCCCCAAGCTCCCTGCCTGTTTAAGGTAGGCCCCCCCACTTTCTGAACGTGCAAGCCAGGGAAATGGATTGTAAAGGACTCTGTGAGGAGGTCCAAGGGACTTTAAAGCTATAACCCCTGTGGATCCCTTGACCTTGGCCTTAGTTTTGCCCCTGATCTTTTAACGAAGAAGAAATACATACACCCGATTTCTGTGATTCTCATGTCTCCCTGGAAAATCGCTGAGCAGAATTATGGGAATAAAATCAAAGGGAGTAGGAGGAGCTCATGCTGATTTTAAACAGAAAAGGGGGAAGAAGCAAACAGGAAAAAAAAGATCTCACTCATGCAAGATGAATATCTACAACACAAGGTAGAAATTAGCTTGCCATACCCACACCTGCAATTTGTGGCAATATAAAAAGAAATCCCGACAAAGAACCCAGTTATGCAAGGGATGTCGCACTAATTTTCAAAACGTTTTACTTCAACCTGTCCCATTCCTATCAACAACCCCCATGTTGCACTGACCACAGATGGGCTCTGGGGTTTTTAGATCAAAGCAATTGGCAGAGAAGGAAAACAGAGCTGCAGTGCTAGAGTTTTTATTTTCTCTCCCTCTCCCCATCCTTGACAGGTGATTGAGCCCAGAGAGGTCTTCTGTAAAACCAACGTGGCTTCAATACTCACCCCACACTATCTGAGCAGCGGAGAGGTCATGATCAGCTCCCTAGGGGACCTATTTGGCAATGGAAAAGGTACCACCAGGCAGATTTGTTTTCCAAAGAGGGGGTGCAGATTGAGGTGCTGTAAGAGCAGGGGTGACTCGGAAGATGTTGGGAGGGAAATCTGTCACACGAACTCCGAAATGTGAAAATTTAAGCCCTAGGCTCTCTTCCAGGTGGTTGCCACTTCTTAGACATCTCCGAGTGGGGCAGACTCCTCTCGCCCAACCCTTCCTAAGAGTCACCCACACCTGCTGTCTGAATTAATTTTGCCTTCTCCCCACACACCCCAAACCGCAGGCGAATTCATTCTCGTGGATACGGAAACATGGCAAGTGAAGGGCACCTGGAACCGCCCTGGAGACGCGGCTCCAGTAGGATATGACTTCTGGTACAAACCAAGGCATAACGTCTTATTCAGCACTGAACTGGGAATCCCTAAATTCTTTGTGGATGCCTTCATCCCCGAAAATCTGGAGAAAGGTGAGATGTGCTAGAGCACTACGTGAGCTAGCGACCCATTGGAATTCAACATCCATGGGGTTGCACTCCAGCCTAGGGATGGATGCAAGATTCTTTGAAGAAGGATGGCACTGAGGGGCTGTTGGTGGTCATCTAGCCCAGCCCTCTTGTCCATCCAGAGCTAGCCCTTCCCCAGGAGGTGGTGGCACCTCGGCTTCTGCTCGGAGGTCTCCAACATGAGCAAGTCCATCACCTTTCTAAGGAAAACTCTCCACAAGCTCCTGAGTAGCCTCTACTCACCCGAGCAAGCTAAGACGATTCTTCTCCTTTCCTCCGTAGGATACTTTGGACGCTGCCTGAACGTGTGGGACTGGACCACCCGCTGCCTCGTCCAATCCATTGACCTGGGGGAAGATTCAGTCCCTTTGATGGTCCGCTTACTGCACAACCCAGATGCCCCACACGGCTTTGTGAGCTGTTTCTTTGACGGCTCTGTGCATCATATTTTCAAGAAGGAGGTGAAAACATGCCGAATTTCTTTCTCCTTTCCCGTCTTTCCAAAGAAATGGGTAAAATGCACTGTTAAAAGGACAACGCAACGTAGATAGTCCTCGACTCATAGCCAAAACTGGGACCGGAACCTTCTGCCACTAAGCGATGCCCTTGTTAAGCGATTCCTGTCTGATTTGTGATCTCTTTGTCCCGATCATTAAATGAGCTACATGGTCATTAAACAAATCCAGCTTTGCCCACTGACTTTGTTGTCAAAAAGTGTGGCACGTCCCAACCAACCTTGTGTCTTTTGCAGGACGGGACGTGGACAACGGAGAAGGTGATCCAGATTCCAGAGAAGGAGGTCACCGGGTGGTACTTCCCTAGAATGCCAGGTGAGCAAATAAAGGACGGGGGGGGGGCTTTTGTCCTCATGCTTATGTCTCAAGCCTCTCACTTATGTCTCAGCCAGGAGTTCTCATTTTATTTTTATTTATTTATTAAATGGACACGCTGTCATGCAATCCTGGCCAGCTTACAACGTGACAGAACAAATGGTGTAAAACATTCAATATAACATTAAAATTAACAAGAGAATTAGTGATGTTGGAGGGGGACGTAAAAAGGGGGCGGGGTTCGCCTTCTCCATATTAATAGTAAGGGCCTTTTAGCAGGTTTGGAGAACAAGCTGAGTCTTTTCCTGGCTGAAAGAGAGATCTGCAGCTTTGGGGGGAGACACCAATTCTTGAAAAATTGTTGCATGCCAGGGAATTAAACCATCCTCCCTCCCTCCTTCCTGACCACATCTCAGCCAGTTATTTCTGAGCCCTTTATCCTCCAGCGTACACCGTTTACTCAGTTATTTCGTTGGATGACCGTTTCCTGTACATTAGCAACTGGCTTCACGGAGATGTCCGACAGTATGACATCACCGACCCCCACTGCCCTCGGCTGACGGGCCAGGTAGGCTCCCTCCCCCTCCCCACTCAAAGGCCCTGCAACTGTGGGAAAAGCTGGGTGGGCTTCAAAGGCTCATTCTTGCCACCACTGGAACCAGGATGTTGGGTTAAGCCGAAAACCAATCCAGGCCTCCTTTACTGGCAAAGAACTCCCACATTCCAAATACCGCAGTCTGGGTTTGGGGGATTGCAGCTTGGGGAAGGGGAGACTGTCCTTTGGCCTGAACTGACCCTAACCCCTTTGGGTCCTGCAGGTGTTTGTAGGAGGCAGCATCCAGAAAGGCAAGGTGGTCACTGTGATTAAGGACGAAGAGCTCGACTGCCAGCCAGATCCTCTCGTGATCCAGGTGAGCCTCTCTTTTCCGAGCATCCGTCCTCCTCCCACAAAAACTAGCCAGGGCGCACAACTTATTCTACTTTATTGTAAGGCTACCTTAAGAGAATCTCGCACGTCTGGGAATGCAAACTTCCCAAGGCCACTTTTAATTGATTGACCCACGACATATGGTCCTTCCCAAGTTTCTCTCTCTGACGGTTAAGTCATTGGAGATGCCTTCTTCTCGTTCTGGTTGTTTCCCAGGCAGCTTCTCCCCCTCCTTTCCCTAAGGTCATCCACACTTTTCATTACACCAAGGAAAGATGCCTGGTTGGAGACACTTGTAGGTAACCTTCCGAGGAATCATTCTCCACAGACAGCCTGGCTTCTTCTCTAGAGGGCCTCTTGAAATGCCACAAACGACTCTCCTGAAGCCGATTATCAGCCTCCTTGGGCCTCATGTGTTTCTTGACCATGCCTTGCTTTTTTTCCACCTTAGGGAAGGAGAGTCTACGGGGGACCAGACATGCTTCAGCTCAGCTTGGATGGAAAAAGACTTTATGTTACCAATAGTCTCGCCACACAGTGGGACGAGCAATTTTATCCAGAAATGTTCAGGTAGGAAGTTTCTCAACAGACGAAGAACCTTCAGACCAAATCTCTTCCTTCTTGTATTACATACCATATCAATCATATACCTACTTTCCATTGCTTTGTCATTGCCTCTCCATTTATACTGGAACTGCAGGCAAATTCCCATTTCTAGAGTTGCCTAACCAGTTTTTCCAGCATTATGGAGGCCCAAATAAGCAAGTAAAAGACCCTCCTTTTTACCCCTGAACTCTTCTTCCTTCGCAGGGAAGGCTCAGTCATGCTCCAGATCGACGTGGACACCGAAAACGGGGGTCTCTGTGTGAACCCAGACTTCCTGGTAGATTTCGGGAAGGATCCGTGGGGTCCCGCTCGTGCATGCCAAATGCGTTACCCGGGAGCAGACTGTACCACGGACATCTGGACCTGAGACACTCCTCCGAGCCCACCCTCTTACTAAGCTAGCATTTGGGGGGCAGGAAGTGGGCTGTGGAACAACTCAACACCAGAATGTTGGCTTGTAGTTTGATCGCACTGCACAGATTTCCGTGTTCGAAGAGGATGCAGAGAAATTAAAATTGTCATAGTAATAAAAGATTTTCTTCTTACTACGGACTCGTGGGGCTAACTTTTGTTTGAAGATGAGAGTTCAGCAGAGGGAGGGAGAAAACCATTTAAATTGGGAGGGGGCGCAACTTTGGCAGGGGGCTTCCTTTGAAACACACGCTAGGCACGGACATTTCAATGATGTTCTCACAAAAACACATTTAACTCCACGGGATGTAGGTTTCACAGCAGTCAGGCGAGGTTGGTAAGGATACACATTTCAACCATAGTAATTCAGGCAAAACATGGAAGATCCTTGCTCCAACAAAAGGTCAGCCAGCAAATCTGAACTGAACAGAATAAGAGAGTTGGAAGAGACCTTGGAGGTCTTCTAGTCCAACCCCCTACTCAAGCAGGAGACCCTAGACCATTTCAGTGTTGAAACCTTTGAAGGCAAGCCCTTCCACTGATTAATTCTTCTAACTATCAGGAAATATCTCCTTTGTTCCAGGTTGCTTCATAGCAACACTAAGGTTACCACATGAAAATAAAAACTGTCTGGACTAGGGCACACCCTGCAACGCTTGCTGGACCCACTTTCTGAGCCATAGAGCTTTCTTGGAGTTTGGAGAAGAGACATTTTCTTGGAATTCTAACTTCTTGAAATTGCAAACCAACTCAAAACTCTCTGCTTTACTCCGCAGAGCCGCAAATACGCGGACAGGCCTCCATCCCATTTGCAAAGCCCTCAAAACACGAAACCATCTGCCTTCTGTTTCTTACAATGTTCCCTCTCTAATTGGCTATTCTTGATCTGTGTGCGCTGAACCGCTTTTGCCCGGTGAATCTGGTTATTCGGATCTGAGTCAGCAAAACGTCAAAAATCAGAAGATGCGAGGTGGGTTGAAATAAATGGTTCTGAGGATGCAATCAAAAGCGGGTGAGGAGAAAGAGATGAAACAGACATATTTCTTTCTGAGCAATCCCAAAGGGCGTGGAATCAGCTGGCTGGGCTGCTCTGATATGGGATGAAGGGAGAGAGCCTCTGGGTTTTCAGGGATCAACCCTTTTATTAATGAGTTCCTTCGGGGTGCGCCCTCCGGGGATGCAACAGATTTGGTCAGGTCTCCTGGGTTATATAAACCTGGTGCAAGCAAGCTGGGGAATCTCAGATATGCAAGCCGAGTCAGTGCTAAAGAGAGAGAGAGACATGCACAAACAACGACCAAGAGATGCGGAGAAGGCACCTGCCAAGATGCCAAGCAAAGGTCGGAAATTGATCTTTTTCTCCAACGGCACCTGTCTACAACCTTCCTTAAAATACCTACGTCTTCTTTCTCCCTCCTGCTGCCAAGAAGCTAAATCTCTCTCTCTCTCTCTCGTTCCTTTTTCAAGAGGGAGAAGTATGTTGCTATCCAGGCCCTGGATACCCAACGCCCTTGGATGCCATGAGAGGTAAGAAGGGGTGATCCTCTCCTCAAGAACAGAGCAGGGAAATGGACGTTGCTGCAGAGATGAGTTGTGGGCTCACCCTTTGTATTAAGCCACCTCGATTGAAGCATGAAGTGTGGAACAAGCTTAGCAAAGTAGTCGGGTGTAGGACTTCCAGTCTGGTATCATCCTTGAACAATGATTCAATCCATAGCCCAAGTTAATCCAGTAACCAACCTTAACAGGCTGGGCAAATGTAAGTCTAGCAAGATGTAGCTCTAACAAAACCATTTTAAGGTTCAGGTCCAAGATCCTAAAATGTGGATATTTTTTTCTCTCTCCAGGACCGCGAGAGAAGCTGATGTACGTGACTTGCATCTTAACTGAATCAGGGACCCAGATGCCGGATTATCTCGCCACGGTGGATGTTGATCCTCGATCTCCCACTTTTTGCAAAGTATGACAGCACTTACTTCTTTGGGAACCTGTGAACGCTTGTTCGGTTTCCTTTTCCTTGGGTCTCTGTCTAATTAATACTTGCGTGTCCGATTCAGGGTCTGTGGATGGGGTGGAAGATAAAACACTGCTTTGTAATGCTCCGGATAGACCTAAAACCTGAGAAATGTTTCAGAAGCACGCGGAGGGGAGCTGAACTCAGAGGCAGCTTCCACTGCATCTTAGCGAACCAGGAGATCGCTTGCAGACTGAAACCAGAACTGTTGGAATTGAAGTAATTTAGGGAGTCAGTTTATTATTTATTTATTTATTATTTAAATTTATATACCGCCCTATCTCCCTTACGGGACTCAGGGCGGTGAACAGGCAATAATAAAAATCACAGTAAATATTACATAAAAGCCTGCTCTAAAATATAAAACCCCTAACAAAACCCAATCAAAACTACACCAGGCTGGCCGCATGGAACAGATGAGTTTTCAGGGCTCGGCGGAAGAGGCGCAGGTCCGCAATTGTACATAGGTTGGGGGGCAGGTCATTCCAGAGGGCAGGAGCTGCCACAGAGAAGGGTCTCCCCCTGGGGGTCGCCAGCCGGCATTGACTGGCCAACGGTACCCTAAGGAGGCCCTCTCTGTGGGAGCGGACTGGTCGAAGGGAGATATTTGGTAGGAGGCGGTCTTGCAAATACCTAGGTCCATTGCCATGGAGCGCTTTAAAAGTTGTTACTAACACCTTGAAGCGCACCCGGAAGGCCACAGGCAGCCAGTGCAGCTCACGCAGGAGAGGTGTTACATGGGAGCATCTAGAGGCCCCCCAAATCCCCCGCACAGCCGCATTCTGAACTAGCTGGAGCCTCCAGGTGCACCTCAAGGGGAGCCCCATGTAGAGAGCATTGCAATAGTCCAGGCGAGAAACGAGGGCTTGAGTGACCGTGCGTAGGGCGTCCCGATCCAGAAAGGGGCGCAACTGGCGTATCAGGCGAGCCTGATGAAAAGCCCCCCTGGCCACGGCCGTCACATGATCATCTAAAGACAGCCGAGCATCCAGGAGGACGCCCAGGTTGCGGGCCCTCTCCGCGGGAGCTAATGACTCGCCCCCGATAGCCAGAGATGGAACCAACTGGCTATGACGTGACGCCGGAAACCACAGCCACTCGGTCTTGGATGGATTGAGACGAAGCCTGTTCCTCCCCATCCAGACTCGCACGGCCTCCAGGCACCGGGACATCACTTCCGCGGCATCGTTGGGGTGGTCCGGGGTGGAGATGTACAGCTGGGTGTCATCTGCGTACTGATGAAACTCCACCCCGAAACCACAGATGATCTCACCCAGTGGCTTCATATAAATGTTGAACAGGAGAGGCAAGAGGACCGACCCCTGTGGTACCCCACAAGTGAGGCGCCTCGAGGTTGACCTCTGCCCCCCTGCCAACACAAATTGCGTCCGGTCCGAGAGGTAGGAGAACCACCGTAAAACGGTGCCCCCCAACCCCAACCCCCCTAACCGGTGCAACAAGATACCATGGTCAATGGTATCAAAAACCGCTGAGAGGTCTAGCAGGACCAGGATAGAGGAACAGCCTCTATCCCGAGCCCTCCAGAGATCATCAACCAACGCGACCAATGCCGTTTCCGTGCTGTGCCCAGGCCGGAAGCCGGACTGGCACGAGTCTAGATAGACAGTTTCTTCCAGGTGCTGAGGGAGCTGTCGTGCCACCACAATCTCAACAACCTTTGCAAGAAAGCGAAGGTTGGAGACAGGCCGGTAGTTGGCCAAAGCAGCCGGGTCCAGGGAGGGCTTCTTGAGGGGCCTCACCACCGCCTCTTTCAAGGCGGCCGGCAAGAACCCCTCACTCAAAGAAGCGTTGACGATTCCCTGGAGCCATCCTCGTGTAACCTCCCGGGAGGCCAGTACCAGCCAGGAGGGACACGGGTCCAGTAAACATGTGGTGGTGTTCAGCCGTCCCAGCATCCTGTCCATGTCTTCGGGGGTCACAGGATCAAACTCTTCCCACAAAATGGACTCAAGACCTGCCTCCATTGGCCCGCCTGAACTAGTCCAATCGGAGGCTAACCCGGCCTGGATCCGATCGATTTTGTCATGCAGGTAACACCCAAATTCCTCTGCCCGACCCTGCAAAGGAACATCCCGGACCCTCTGATGAAGGAGGGAGCGGGACACCCTAAACAGGACGGCAGATCGGTTACCTGCAGACGCGATAAGAGCGGAGAAATAGTTTCGTTTCGCCGCTCTTATCGCTACTAGGTAAGTCCTTAAATGGGACTTTACCAATTTCCGATCGGATTCGGAGCGGGTGGCCCTCCAATTACTCTCTAGGCATCTCTTCCGACGCTTCATCACGCTCAGCTCCTCGGAGAACCAAGGAGCCAAGGTAGACCGGCATCGGGTGAGGGGCCGCAAAGGCACGACCCGGTCCAGGGCCCCCGCGGCCGCATCATTCCAGGCGGCCACCAGGTCCTCAGTCGAGCCGCGGGTCAAGGTCTCAGGTATTGGCCCAAGCTCCGTCTGGAACCTCTCAGGGTCCATCAGGCGCCTGGGGCGGAACCATTTTGTCACTTCTGGTTCCGCCTCCCCGCGGTGGGGCGTAGCGGTAGGAAAGGCCAGCCAAAGGAGAGAGTGATCTGACTATGACAGGGGCTCAACGACTATTTCCCCTAAACCACGATCACTCAGCCACTGGCCGGAGGCAAAAACTAAGTCCAGTGTGTGTCCTCCGGTGTGGGTAGGGACATCTACTAATTGGGTCAGGTCCATGGCCGTCATGGAGGCCATGAACTCCCGAGCCACCTCAGATGCTTCACCTAACGATGGCAGATTGAAATCCCC